CGTTTCTTTAGATCGGGCGGCGGCTAACGCCACCTAGCCATGATACTTAGTGAACTAACCATTACATCTATCTTTTTTTTTCCTTTAAATAATGAAGTGGAGGATTCGTACTTCGCCGTGAAGGGTTTAATTTTCACTCGTGCCTTGACTTTAGCCACCAATCAGATAACCTCCTTCTAGTTAAGTCTACCCGCTTAAAGTCTATTTTGCCCTCGCTGTCCCTAAATCCCAGTGCTTTGAAAAACTCTGCGCCATCATCCTGAACTATAGGGTGAAGCCCTTCACAGAACATTATCAAGTGTTCGGCAGTTTCTTCTTCCTCTCCACACGCACTGCATACTGTGTCGACCCCTTCGTATTTGGCCCGATATGTCTTGGTTCGCAGTACACCCGTCCTGGCCCCAAACAGTAGAGAAGTACCCCGAGTATTATCATAGATCCTTTCCTTGGCAATTTCCTGCTTACAAGTTCGATAGATCTCTAGTGCGGACTTCTTAATCATGCCCATTCTCCACATGTCAGTCTCCGTTGCCTTCACTTTCTTTTTAACCAATAGTTCTTTTTGGTTTGGCCACCTGCTGTTTTCTAAGCATTTACCAGTCAATTTTCTGGTTCGCTTCCTCCATTTTGTATCGACATTCTTCATGTACAAGTAGCTAAAAATCTTCCTAGCCCAACGCTCCTCCTCCATTTCTCTCAATCGCTTCTCAAATTTTATCTTGCTGCTAGCTTCCCTGCCCTCAAATGATGTCCATCCCATATCACCTTGTACTCACTGATTTGGTGTATTCCCGTAAGCTCCTAAAGCAAGCCTACCTATTCCACGTTGCTTAATTTCTAATCTTGCTTGAACTTCTGATCTCATGCACAAGACCGCATTGCTGAACGTCAGCCCAGGAATCATGACCCCTTTCCATATTCCTCTCACAAAATCATACCTATTGTAATTCCACAGTGCCCTATTTTTCATGACTGCTGCATTCCTGTTACCTTTAGTCGTCACGTATATTTCGTGTCCCCTCAGATACTCGGTCCCATTGCTTATCCATACGCCCAAATATTTGTATTTATCTGTTATCTCTAGCGTGACCTCCTGTATTCTAAGCTCACTACCTTCGTTGTCATTGAAAATCGTGACTGCTGATTTTTCCCTACTGAATCTAAAATCTAACCTATCTCCCTCATTACCGCAGATGTCCATCAATCTCTGCAAATCTTCCTTGTTGTTGGCCATTAGCACTATATCATCTGCGTACATTAATGCTGGTAGTGCCTGATCAATAAGTTTTCCTTGTTTGACTAAAGAGAGGTTGAAGCCAAGTCCACTTCCCTCTAATTTGGCCTCTAATCCTTGTAGGTACATCATGAATAATAAAGGTGACAGGGGACACTCCTGACTAAGCCCACGTTTTACCTCTGCAGGCTTGGATACCTGTTTTTCCCACTTTATAACTACCTTGTTACCTTTATAGATGCAGAACTCGTCTACTCGTGCAGCGCTCCCATGCGGTAGCGGCGAGCGGAAGAGGAGCATGCGCTCGAAGGCCTCAAGAGAGCGTTCGCGGGTACAGTTTGACCAGCGCCACAGTTATGATGATGACCATATAAATGGTGCATTGACTGACATACAAAGTTCCGTATAATTTAGATATATACTGCGTAGTTAGGAAACATGAAGGGGGCGGTTCTGAGATTGTACACAGGAACTACGCTGTGGGGCTAAAGTTGAGCTATAGTTGACTAGCCATTACAGTAAAAAAAAAGGGGCCATCTGCCTGAAGAAAACCAACTGTGATGAGATGAGACGGACAGACTGGAATTAACAGGCTAGTCAAAAAAATGCTCTGCATCTAAAAGCCCTAGAACGAATGTCAATTAAGGGAACTATGAAGTTGCACGAACCTTTTTTTGAAATCTTCCACCAAAGCGCCCTTGGACCTAACGGAAGCGCATTGCACTTGAACAGAATTCACTTCGTTATAGGGGCTTCGACTTGTTCGACTCCTCTTGGGCAACTTTTGCAGTACAACCAACGCATCAGGGGAACTTTAGCTCGGAAAGAATGCATTGTCGGCTGATGTCTGCAAGGTGTGACGTAAAACAAAAGTTGAGCCTTATTATTCTTATCTTCTGATGGCTCATACCCAATGAAGGGGAGTGGCTAAGCCTTATCGTAGGTAATGGGGGTTTCAACTTTTTCGAATGCTCTTGAGCAATCGTTGCAGTGAAACCAACGCCTCAGGGTGAACCTAGCTTGGAAAGAATGCATTTTCGGTCAATGTCTGCTAGTTTTGACGTGAGACAAAAGATGGACCTTATCATGAATTATAAGGGATTCAACATTTTTTTACTGCTTTTGTGCAACTTTTGTAGTGCAAACAAAGCTTCAGGGGAAATTTAGCTCGGAATGAAGGCATTGTCGGCCTATGTGTGCAAGGTGTGACGTCCCACATAAGTTGAGCCTTATACGTGCCTTAGCATACAGAACTTCTATTCGCTCTCAGCTCGAATTTGCTTCTGCAGTTTGGTCCCCTCATTACACATATTAATGATGATGCTGATATGTGGGGTTTAACGTACCAAAACCACCATATGATTATGAGAGACACTCTAGTGGAGGGCTCCAAAATCTGGAGCTATTTAACGTGCACCCAAATCTGAGCACATGGGGCTACAGCATTTCCGCCTCCATCGGAAATGCGACCGCCGCAGCCGGGATTTGATCCCGCGACCTGCGGGTCAGTAGCCGAGTACCTTAGCCACTAAACCACCACGGCGGGGCCCCCACATATCAATCAAATAGTAGAAGGTTGTTAGTAGCCATAAGCGATGAACATCAAATAAGATTGTGAAAGGCGCTTTAGGTTAATGTTATCGTTCCTCTATGAGCCATTTCAAGCATATGAACATAGTTCTTAAAATATGAGTCCACGCATAGCGAGTTTTTAAATTGTGTCTAAGAAGTCCTAGCTTTCTAGAGGCGAGAAAATATGATTACTTCGTGACACTCAATCGGTAATCTTGACTACCAAGTATTTAAAATTGTTCACTTCGAATAAAAGAATATTATTTAATGCGCACCAGGATATGGAAGGGCTAATTTCATTTGAGATTCACATAAGAACTTATTTACTAATGCCTAACTTAATCGACCAGGTATTGCACCCATTGGAGAGAGAATTTAGGTTCTTCGAGCACACTTATTCCCTTTCACTTTTAATTGGCTTGTAAAGAATGAAGTCATCTGCGAAAATTTTCAGGCTTATGGTAGTGTTGTCAACTTATGAAACGATGTCATTGATAAAGATTAGAAACAAGGCAGGGACTTCCGAGGTTACAGGCAGAAACCCAGAGTTGCACCTTTCAATCTGGACAAATTGTTTCTGGCTGGTGAGGTATCCAAATAATTACATTCATAGGTAGACCAATGTTTGAAAGTTTTGCTAGTAGTTTGCCATGACGGACACATTTGACAGCTTTTGTAAAATTGACAAAATGGCGTCTATAAGGTTGCCCTTATCAAGTGCTATTTCAAAGTCGTGAATAGTGGTGACAAGGCGGGAGGCAACCGAGAGGCCTTTCCTAAAACGCCGTGATAGTTCAGTGGTATGGACATCGAACGCGTTATTCGAAGGTCGTAGGTTCGATTCCTGCCTACGGTACCAAAAACACCCCACCGCGGTGGTCTAGTGGCTAAGGTACTCGGCTGCCGACCCGCAAGTCGCGGGATCGAATCCCGGCCGCGGCGGCTGCATTTCCAATGGAGGCGGAAATGTTCTCGGCCCGTGTGCTCAGATTTGGGTGCACGTTAAAGAACCCCAGGTGGTCACAATTGGCGGAGCCCATAATGCGGCGTCTCTCATAATCATATGGTGGTTTTGGGACGTTAAACCCCACAAATCAATCACATATCAATCTTTCCTAAAACCATACTGGAAAAAGTCGAAATATTGTTTTCTTCAAGAAATGACGTTATGCAATGCGTGATGTGCTCAAGAAGTTTAAAGGACCGGAAGTTAAAAATATTGGTCGGTAGTTTTATTTGAATCATGAACGATGAAAAACACAGCAAGAAACGTGCGCGATAGGTTTGGCATCACGCTGCAAAGATGCGTTCAGTATACCGTCTGGGCCATCAGAAGGTTTAGTCTTAACATTAGGCAAGATTGAAAAGACACTTCGACAATTATAAAATCGGCAGATATGGTAGGAAAAGAACTGCTATTTTTGTTAGCATGATCTCCCCGAATAAATACGGCGTGATAATATATAGTTAATGAATTTGTCGTCTTGTATTATTAACAATTTAGCTGTTAATTGATAACTTGGTCAGAGTTTTGTACTCTAGTACAAAACACTAGTGCAGTCTAGTCCCGCCAGAATATGTCCGCGTTTGTTTTCAAAAAGTAATAAGTGAGTGGTTGAAGTATCTCGCCTTAGCTTCGCTCAGCCTAGTTGCAAGCTGAAGCTTCTACGAGCTAAGTCTATAATGATTACTTTTTTCTTTCTAGCACGCTAGCACGTTTTAGCTTGCAGAGCAACTCTACGATGTACTTGCTAATCTGTAGGTTATTTTTAGGTCACTGTTCGCAGAATAGCTGTTGTGCTTATACGTGCAATGACTTTCTGAAAATAGTAAAATGTGCTCTACTTTGTTTGTGCCGTTAATGAATGCCGTGCTCATGTACCAACGAAGCTCATCACACACCGCGTGAAAGATGTACCCGACATCAAGGGCACACTTTCTTGAATGACGGTAGGTGCATATCTGTCTGATGACAACGTCCATTGACTGCAGCACTTGCAATTCGATGAAATACGCTCCCCACATTTGGTTCAATACGCTTACCGGCTGGTACACACGACCGAACTATGGTAGCCGCAGTCGAATGCAAGAGGGATGTGCAGTGCGGCTCTGGTCAACTCCGGCGGGAAGAGGCGGAATCATCATGAACTGTCGATGACGAAGTAAGAGGAGTGCCGAGACAGGCAATGATTAAGTAAAGCTTCGCAATTTTCCCCGCGTGCGCGGGCTTTATTCTTCGGCCATATCAGCGCCTCAGGCAGCAATGTTAGGCTCCGGCTGCAGGCGGGGCATCTTTGTTGGCTCCCTCATCGTCCAAGTGAGCGAGCTTGTTGTCGAGCCAGTTCTCGATGACCCGTGCATTCTTGCGCACCCAGTTGATGTTGGCCCGGGCCAAATCCAGCGCTGTCTGGAAAGTGCGCGTCAGCTTCTTGCCCGTCTTCTTGCTCTCCACGTTAGTCGCCAAGAAGTGCTCCATCTGCAGCGCCGCGACGCATTACAAAACTAGCACACCATTTGAAATGAAGACCGGCTCCACATTCAAAAATACGCAGCAGCGCAACTGAAGCTCGACGTCACATGTTCAGGCAGGCAAAAGCGTCGATATGTACGCATCATGCCATGCACCCCCAAAATTTTGATCACAGGGAAGGTTCTGGTGTTACAAAGGATATTGCCGGTGGCAGTTATTGGCTTGAGTCACTACAAGGGGCCTACGCTTCGTGGTTCTCACTACTTTACCAGCATCACTACTGCTGCCAAATCCAATTCCGAGAACGACATGCTGTTTTGCCAGTGACGTCATACGTGACGGTCCTGCCTAGGTCGCGTGACTATAACACATGTGATATATAAGAACGTTCTCCAAAAAGTATAAGATGGGATTGATACGCTATACCATTGATGAACTAACACAGACGACATGATGAAAATTCGGGGCGCTGTCCGACCGCTTTGTCGTTAAACACGGTAGTATAATCAGTGAAGTATATCGAATTCTATTGTGTGAGGAAGTTCGTCGCCAAATCGAGACAAGGAACGCCGATTTCACGAAAGATGTTGGCATCGGTGATTAGATGGCCTAATGGGTGGCTTTAACGAAGCGTTATGAATAAATGTGATACACGTAGTAAAAAAAAAGCACTTCTACACAAATAGACGCCTAAGTCACTAAGTTAGTGACGTATAGCAGTACATGGGCTTGTTCAAATAGCATCTTTTTTTTTCTATGGAAAGGACTTACCTGTTTGAGGTCTTCACTTTTGCGAATGCCTTGTATCGCAAACCAGATGGTGTCCTTAAGCGATGGGCTCTGGCCGTACCTATATAGATATACAATGCACATGCCCATCAATGTGCAGCTGGTACCTAAGAATGACAGCAAGTGGGTGTATTTGGCAGGATTTCATGTTGCAGGTACGTCATGTACGTCATCCTGAAGTGTGGTACACAGGAAAATGTAGAACGAGATGCGGAAATCAAATAATAAAGGTTCAACTGCCTACACTTCTTAACTTTCTGATCAGGTAACATAAAATTCACAGATCTAGCATATCACTAAAACAGTTGCGATTAGTGTTTGTTTAATGATGCTACCAGGTGATTACATTTTTATTCCTGTATTGTCATTTTCATTGTTTCTTCTTTAATGCACATTGCGAAGCACTTTTTATTTTGGTTGTCCTTAGCCGTACGTCTTGAATCATTGATTGATTGATTTGATTGATTGGTTGCTTGATTAATTGATACGTGAGATTTAACGTCCCAAAACCACCATATTATTATGAAAGACGCCGTAGAGGAGGGCTCCGGAAATTTCTACCACCTGGGGTTCTTTAACGTGCACCCAAATCTGAGCACACGGGCCTACAACATTTCCGCCTCCATCATAAATGCAGCCGCCGCAGCCGGGAAACGAACCCGCGACCTACGGGTCAGCAGCCGAGTACCTTAGCCACTAGACCACCGCGGCGGGGCAACCGCTCGTCTTCTGTGCTACCCTGTGTACTGGGAGATCAGGGCTACTCAAGCTGTTCTAACAGCTTTTACCAGCCCTCCTCGTAACATGTCTTTGTTACGGAATAAAATTTCAATTTCAACAAAGATGGCGGGAGTGCAAAGACGGACACAAGATAGTAGTCAGGACCAAGCGTTTTTTTTTTTCACCAATAAGTATTCAGCGTTACCTTCGAGCATGAATATTCGCCAATTTCGCATCGGTATTCGAGCTTCATGAAAAAGCTTACGCGGTTGCAATGGAAGTTGTCTTGAATAATGCTGCTAGGAGCATAGTAAAGGGAAATGCCTCGTGTCGCTGCGGGTAGTTGCTAAGACAAGGTGCCACCTTACCATGGCACGGTAAGTAGAGTAAATAATCTCGTCCAAGCTTCCGTGAGTTTCTTTTTCGGTGAGAAAGAGCTTGATGTGGGCGAGTTGGTGGACCACCATCATATTGATCATCATGAACCTGACTACGCCCACTGCAGCAGGACAAAGGCCTCTCCCATGTTCCACCAGTCAACTCGGTTCCGTGCTTGCGGCTGCCGCTTTATACCCGCGAATCTCCTAATCTCGTCTGCCCACCTAACTTTGTTTTCTTGTCTTCTCTCGAAATACAGTCAGTGATGGCCATTGGTTGTCTTGCCTTCGCGCTACGTGCCCTGCCATTTCATCTCTCTAAGGTAAAACGTTGCGCGAAAAATACGAGGACGCTCACAACAGACGAGTGCAAACAATCAACTGAAGTTAGTTTGAGGAAACAGGAATACATATACGTGTAAAAACAAACACCATCGTCACGTGGCTCAGGCTCTATCGTTACATGAAGTTAATCTCTTTTTTTTTTTTCCAGGTGCTACTGGCATGCAACTGACGCACGTGTCTCCTGCGCGCACGATGTAAAAAAGCTTTGGGGATCTCCCTTTCTAATCCGTCACAAGGTCACGCCAAGAATTTCACCCGTGTAAAAATCGGGCGGCAATTGCAGCGCTTACAGTGTCCTGCCTGATTCCCGCCCACGTTATAGGTCCAGTTGCGCTCATCTCATTGTAGCAGCGACCCGTTCTGTAGCATGCTATAGGGGAACTCAATCTTGCGACGCGGAAGTTTATTTCCAATCAAACTGCAGTTTTTATTTATTTGTTTCGCTCACTGACAACGCTGGTTGTTCTTTTTCACAGCCCATGACACGGATGCCATAATTTATGAAAGACGAGTTGTTTACCGTTACATAGTCAAAAATTCACAAATAATAGTATACGCGCATGCCATTGTGCGTTGGCCACGAAAATATTACAATCTCCGCTGCTTATAAATGTATGACTTGCTCTACATTCTAGAAAAGTAGATATTTCCAGTGACTCTTCTTACTTGTTTGCCTGCGCCTCGTACAGTAAAGTTATCTTTGAAGAAATATGAACACAGGGTGGTTTTCGTTTAGGCCATATAGATGTTTTATAAAGCTTGTATAACAGTCAAACTGCTGTTTTACCCATTAATTCTATGTCGAGGCAGAACTACTTTGCCACCACTAAAATGACACTTGCGCGACTAATTACCAACTTCGATCATTAGAATTTTTATTCATGACCTGAGAATGGAACTGCACGTGAATAGGAAGTTTCAATCAAGGCGCGCCGATGCAGAATCGGGTCACAAAAAGCGGCAATGGCGAAGTGCACCACTTATTCATTTGGTGCGATCCCTAAACAGGCGTGCTGGATCTGTGGCTACGATGCTCGACTGCTGAAGTGGAAGTGTCCACGTTCCGATGGAGGCCAAATGGTCGCGAACTGGGCGGCAAATAACACCAGGTGATCTAGATTTACTTTACTATATTCAACGTCCCACGTAATCATATCATGATGTTGGAACATGCAATATTATTACCAAACTGTCTGAAAGAAAAAGCGCACCCGAATTTTTATACTTCACGGAGAAGCCTGATAGTGCGGTTTTATTGTGCTCGAAAGAAGCAGATAAGCATCGAATATCGATGCGCTATGATCCGCTGAGGCAAGTGAGATCACTTGTCGCTTTTCACGAAAAGGTACATGGCCGCGACGTGCCTTCGTTCAAATTTCGTCGCATCCGGATTCCAGACTTAGGCAACAAAGCGGTCGTGTTGATTGATATGTGGGGTTTAACGTCCCATAAACACCGTAGGATTATGAGAGACGCCGTAGTGGAGGGCTCCAGAAATTTCGACCACCTGGGGTTGTTTAACGTGCACCCAAATCTGAGCACGCGGGCCTACAACACTTCCGCCTCCATCGGAGATGCAGCAGCTGCAGCCGGGATTCGATCCCGCAACCTGCGGGTCAGCAGCCAAGTACCTTAGCCACTAGACCGTCGCGGCGGGGCCGTAATTAAACTCAATAAGATATATAAGATAAAGGTGGTACAGGCTTATGCGCCTACGTCCAGCCATGATGACGCGTCAGTTCAAAGCTTCTATTAAGGCGTGGAATCGGCAATGAGGAAGGTAAAAACACAGTATACTATACTGATGGGAGACTTCATTGCAAAGGTAGGGATTAAGCAGGCTGGAGACCAGTCAGTAGGAGATTATGGCATCGGTACTAGAAATGCCAGAGGGGAGCTACTAGTAGAATTCATAGAACGCAATAATTTACAGATTTTGAATACCTTCTACCGAAAGTGAGGGAACCGTAAGTGGACATGGAGGAATCCTATTGGCGAAAATAAGAACGCAATTGACTTTATACTGAGTGTACACCCAGGCATCTGTGCAGATTGTGGAAGCGCTTGGCAAGGTACGATGAAGAAGAAGGAACGACAGAAACTGATACGCAAAAAGCCATTCAATCAGCTAGCACTGAGAGGGAAAGTACAGGAATTCAGAGTATCGCTTCAGAACAGGTACTCAGCTCTTATCGAGGAAAACAGCCTTAGCGTTGACGCAATGAACGATAATCTGATAAGTATCATTACTGAGTGTGCAGTGGACGTTCCAGGTACTGTAGTTAGACGGGACACTGGCAAGCTGTTCCAGGAAACAAAGAATCTCATTAAGAAGCGTCAAAGCATGAAAACCTCAAGTACAACAGACAAAATAGAGTTGGTAGAGCCTTCGAAGTTGATTAATAGGCGTAAGGTATGCGATGTGAGAAGGTATAACATGGATAGAATTGAGCACGCTCTGAAAAACGGAGGAAGCGTCAAAGCAGTGAAGAGGAAACTTGGAATAGGCAAAAATCGGATGTATGCACTAAGGGACAAAGAAGGCAAAGTAACTACCAATATGGATAGGATAGTAAAATTAGCGGAGAAGTTTTACAGAAACCGTTACAGTAGCCAGCACAACCACGACCTTAATATAAGAACTAGCAGTAACCCAGATGACACCCCAGCAGTAATTATACAAGTCATAAAAGCCTTGGAGAGCATGCAGAGAGGCAAAACTGCTGGGGAGGATAAGGTAACATCTGATTTGCTGAAAGATGCAGAACAGATTGTGTTAGAAAAACTAGCCACCCTGTTTACGAGGTGTCTCCTGATGGAAAGAAAACCAGAGTGCTGGAAGAATGCTAACATCATCTTAATACATGAGAAAGGAGATGACAAGGACTTGAAGAAATACAGGCCGATTAGCTTGCTCTTTTTAGTATACAAGCTATTTAGAAAAGTAATTGCTAACAGAGTAAAGAAAACATTCGAATTCAATCAACCAAAAGAACAAGCAGGATTTCGAACAGGTTACTCAACAATCGACCACATTCATACTATCAATGAGGTAATAGAGAAATTCTCAGAATATAACCAACGACTATACATAACCTTCATAGATTACGAGAAGGCGTTTGATTCAGTAGAAATATCAGCCGTCATGCAGACACTGCGGAATCAGGGCGTAGATGAAGTATATGTAAACATTCTGGAAGAAATCTACAGGGGATTAACTGCTATACCATAGTGCTTCATAAAGAAAGCAACAGAATACCAATCAAGAAGGGTGTAAGGCAGGGGGACACAATCTCCCTAATGCTATTTACCGCATGCTTACAGGAGTTTTTCAAAAGCCTAGAATGGGAACAGTTAGGGATAAGAGTTAATGAAGAGTACCTTAGTAACCTGCGCTTCGCCGATGACATTGCATTGCTGAGGAACTCAGGGGACGAATTGCAACTCATGATTACGGAGTTAGACAAGGAGAGCAGAAAAGTGGGTCTTAAAATTAATCTGCAGAAAACGAAAGTAATATACAACAACCTCGGAAAAGAGCAGCGCTTCGAGAAAGGTAATAGTGCACTTCAAGTTGTAAAAGACTATGTCTACTTAGGGCAGGTAATAACCGTGGAGCCAAACCACGAGACTGAAGTAACAAGAAGAATATGAATGGGGGGAGCACATTTGGCAAGCACTCTCATATCATGAAAAGTAGATTGCCACTATCCCTCAAGAGGAAGGTATGTAACAGCTGCATCTTGCCGGTGCTTAGCTACGGAGCTAAAACCTGGAGACTCACAAAGAGGATGCAGTTTCAATTGAGGACGACGCAGCGAGCAATGGAAAAGCAAATGGTAGGTGTAACCTTAAGAGACAAGAAGAGAGCACAGTGGATTAGGGAACAAACCGGATTTAAGCATATCATAGTTGAAATCAAGAAGAGGAAATCGACATGGGCCGGGCATGTAGCACGTAGACAGGATAACCGCTGGTCATTAAGGGTAACGTACTCGATTCCTAGAGAAGGGAGGCGGGTTAGGGGGGGACAGAAGTTTAGGTGAGCACATGAGATTAAGAAGCTTGCTGGTATAAATTGGCAGCAGCAAGCATAGGACCGAGTTGACTGGCGGAACATGGGAGAAGCCTTTGTCCTGCAGTGGACGTAGGCAGGCTGATAATAATAGTGATATATATATATATATATATATATATATATATATATATATATATATATATATATATATATATATATATATATATATTGAGAGAGAGAGAGAGAGAGAGAGAGAGAGAAAGCACACGAGCGAGTACAGCCGCCACTGTGGTTAAGTGGTTATGTTGCTCGGTGGCTGATCCGAAGGTCGCGGGATCAAATCCCAGTGGCAGCGGCAACATTTTCGCTGGCAGCGGAAGTGCTTCAGGCCCACGTTCTTAGATTTCGATGCACGTTAAAGAGTTCCAGGTGGTCGAAGTCTCCGAATCTCCAATACGGCGTCTCTCATAATGAAATGATGGTTTTGGGACGTTAAGCGCCATCAGTGATATTATTTTGGTGCTCACTTGTCCAGCAGCGCTTTCCAGTTTTCAATGAAGAACTTGAGAGTGAGGTCACTGCCCTTGTTGGAGTAGGAGGCGCTCTCGAAGAAGTAGCCCACTGAGCTCTCCATGTTCTTGTTCAGGCTCGTCATGTTGCGCATGGAGAACGACAGCAAGCTGCGAGCCAAGATGAAGTAGGAGGTAATCTCTAGTGTAGAAACCTATACAATGTCTTAGTACTTTTTTGCTGGGATAGTTGGTACATCATAACGAGGGGAAATTTTGAGGCACCTGAAGAAAAAAGTAGAAGCAAATGGTAAGAGGCAAGTGATTTATTCGCAGGAAAAAGTTATGAAAGTATAGACGCCACCCCACACATGCGCAAACAGCACCGCTTCACGTAAACAGGCATATCTAGTCAAGCAACGAAGAGTGAAATTGAAACTTAGACGTGCGCAAAACTACTGACATGTACATAAGACGCCTTTTATCTTTATTCAAAACGCTTCCATTATTTCCCAGGCCAGAACATATGAGCTTTTGGCAACGACAGAAACGCTTGAAAACCTATAGCCTCGCAAGAGCAGGAATGGCGATGTGAAGGGAAATGTGCTGCCGAGCGACAGCTCATGTTCCCTAACTTACGTTGAAACACCGACCAGTTTACATCGGCCAGACCAGGTTTCCGTTGGCCGAATACGTCGGTGTTTGAACGTCGGAGTTAGGAACACGACCGGTATGGTCCGAGCCGTGCCGGTTAACCTAACGCCATACGTTCTGAATAACTTTAGATTTGCCGCGTGACAGGGGTAGATGTTGTTAGCGTACAGCTGCTGGACGCCACCTGGTTAGGCTCAGGGGTTACGGATTCCGCTCGAATGTGCGATGGTCGCAAACGGGAATGAATACCTGAGCAAGTTCTTGGTTTCGCCGGTGCACCCCAGGGCGCTGACGATGACGTGGGCCTCTTCGGCGCTGCTCGCGTCGCGGATGTGGTCAGCCAGGAAGCGCCAGTCCGTGTTGTCGCCCAGCCGAATGCCGTGGCACAGCGTCACCAGCGTGCCCGTCAGGTCACGTCGCAGAGCACTGCGTGATCCAACAAAACGGCGAGACGGGCTGGTTGGTGAACATTCGTGTTTAAAGCGAAATGTTTTGAAGTGCCCGAAAAAGACGAGACAGAAAAGCTGAGAAGCTGATAGGACAGCGCACAACTGAATTTTTCCTGAACAGAGTAACAACAAAAAATGAGTCATCCGTCCATTTACACGATAAAGCGTATGACTTTCTTGATAAGTGCAGATTGTTAGTTTCAATATATGTTCTTACCTTTGTTCTGTTTCTGAAGGGAAGTTGGGTCCTGTTGCTTGACTACGCATGTGCAATTGGGTCTGTAGTATTTTTAAATGTTTCATTCTGTTCAATGAAAACTCAGTTGCGAGAAAGCGCTGTCCTGTCAATTTCTTATCTATTCAGTCTTCGTTTTCGTAAAAAGCTTTTTGCTTTACATATGATAGTGATCCAGCGTCATCGGTCTTCAGTATCTGTCGATGTGAAGCAATTTCGGCAAAGCTTTGTGGCTCTGCTTTTTCATTCCCTCATTCAGGAATTCATAAGAGAAAAAAGGTGCAGAAATAGGGCGCCAGATCAAGACACCACAAATTTGCGCCACCCTATGAACAGAATGAAAAAAACTTTGGAAGCTCATGTGACGACGAATGGTGGCGCAGCTTGTCAAGCATTGGAGACAGGATAGGGCACACATGAAAGAGGTGTGTGAAGTATTACCTCGTTTGTGGACTTGAAGTCAACAACATTGACTTCTCGTATCTAAAATCTCGCGCGAAGTAGGTTGCCGATTTGTTAAGGCCGATTTTATCTACTGTTACAAACAATATTGGATATAACGAAATAATTTATAGGGCTAATAGTAATTCAGTATAATGATGTTTGGCTGCACACCTAATGAGTTAGGCTGAAGTCTAAGATAAAGCAAGTCAGCAGCACAAAAGCCCCTTGACAATCATCATCGTGCTGTAATTGTCAGTCCGCGTATCACTAACATATTCATTCGGGCTTTCGTTGTCTGGCACGGCCGCAGGTAGGCTGCGTTCAAGTCTTTTTTTAGGGGCGAAGTTCCTTGAGCCGTGGATTTTGCAGTGTTGTTGTTGTTGTTGTTGTTGTTGTTGTTGTTGTTGTTGTTGTTGTTGTTGTTGTTGTTGTTGTTGTTGTTGTTGTTGTTGTTGTTGTTGTTGTTGTTGTTGTTGTTGTTGTAATAGTAGTAGCAGCAGCACCAGCAGTTTTAGTGGTAGGTAGCCACCTCTTGTTTCGTCCTTGGAATGTCCGCTGGACGGCGGTACTTGTATACGATGAATATATGATAAAAAGATGCGAGATGACGATATTTGGAGTGTGCACTAGATGGATGGAGGGACGCATGGACGGACAGACAGACAAGCAGACGGACGGACGGATGAATGGACGGACCGACAGACAGACAGACGGACGGACGCTTCGCCCCACTCATCATCAATCACTCCATGAATATGCTGTAGTTTTAACTTTTTTAATTAAAAGTACCTTATAGGTTTGTAGGCATTGAGTAAGGGGGTTACAGTAAAATCAGCAATACACTCGCAATGAAGAATGTTACAGTGCAGGTTAATAATAACGACAACAAAACTCTTCGCAGTCATCGTTATTCGACAGTACAGAAAGTGCAGATCACAGCACGTGTATTAAAAGGAAGAGCAGTACTGCACAGAAAGTCACACATTCCCCGCTCTGAATATAGGGCAAGACAGGTCACCCGGCATGTACACTCGCACCCCTAAATATGACTGCTAAGAACTCCTCAATGATACTTGACTTTCACGTAAAACCAAAAACTGTTATTGTTAACTGAAACCATAAATCTGACTTAAAATTTTGAAACGACGGGCAATGAGGCTCCGAACGTCATTGACAGTCTCTTGCGACGAAAGAACGGAGGCGACAGAAACTCGGATAGGTGTTGAGAACGTTCTTATACAAAGATTTCTTTTACACATATATAATTTTGCCTCACTACCTGGGATATGACCGGTAACATGGATCTCAACGAATCACAGGGGCTTTGGTCTTAGCATGGCAATAAAGCAGTTCAATGGGAATTAATTTTGCTGGCACTACGAGGTAGCAATGAGCGAGGTTGCGCACCTGCCACTTGCCGTAGAAGTCCGTAGCTCGCAAGCGGCCGTCGAGCGCCTCGACCGTGTTCAGGGACGTCTTGAGCGGCGCGTACGCCGTCTCGCGACGCACGTAGTCCAGAATGTCCATGGCCACCGCGTAGCTCAAGTCTCCAGAGCTGCAAGTGAGCCGACTTGGTCACGAACGCAGTGTTGTTATCACACCAATGTGTACAGCCACGTCTAACGCGTGAGCAGCCGGCCTGGTGAAAAACGGAGGCGCACAACTGCTCCCTTGCACTGCGGGGTGACACCTTGCGGCACATCCATGCCTTGCAGCATTTGCGGGCTCTGACGCGGTGTGCCGAGGAACACACAAATGGTCTAATTTACATGCTGACCTGGTTTTCGGCGTCCAGATACCGAAAGATGGCGCCTCGATGCGCGAGCAGAGGAGTGGGCATCGAGGCACTCAAGAGAAACACGTGCCTGACAAACACTTGTTGCTTTGTATTTACTTAAAGCCTCACCTTTCTCGCCACGTGGTCCTTAAAGCTGAGAGGCAGCCTTGCTTTCCCTCATTATTTTTTTTTTGTAGTTTCGCGATTGCGGAAGAATTCGGTACCTATAGCGCTGACATAAAAAGTTGCAATCCCGCTTGCGTGCACTTTAACGAGTCTTATAGGTGATGCTTAGAATAATAAACAAATGTTGCTTGAGATCCGTCGTCTAAATCAAGCGTTTCATTTTCGGTATCGCAGTGACTATAATGATGGGGCCCGTCAACGCAGTACTTTTTTGTATTTGTCTTAGTCTGTAGTCGTCTTACATTTGTAGTCGTCTTAGACGCCACCACCTAGCTGTTCCGGTGGCGCAGTAGGTTGCCGTGCTGTTGGAGATGCGGTCGTACCACAGGTCAGTGGTTCAAATCCCGTTTTGTTATATTTCAATTTCTTTATAGTAATACCTCAATATTGACGTTATTGCTTCCCAGAAGTCATAATTTTGCTTTTTTGCAAGAAAATCACGTAGCTGTTTGTGCCAGTTGTTTAGCCCTACCACGTTAATTTTTCGAGGCGCAGTGCGTACGCTGTTGGTAGGTGAATTCAGTTCGAGTCGTGCTGACCAACTGAACTTTTCTTTCTTCTGCTTTCAATATTATTTCGAGTAATGTTGCCTATTTTAAGAGCAGTAGCCTACAGTGGAGCGATGGGAGGAAACGCTGGCCAGCGAGAACATGGACGATAAGCTGTGTCGAGGTTCTCGCTGACGGACCCGGCTCGCTGAGTGGCCGCTGGCGCAGAGCCCAGCTATTGTCCCCCCGCGAGATCCACAGCAGTGGTCGAGTTTTCACCACCACCATTAAAAGCGCGTGCACAGACACTACCGCATCGAGTAAATTAACACAGCGCCGTAACGATGTAACTATGTGGTGGCCCGTTTTAACAACGCTGCCTATATTGACGGGCCTCGTCATAGTGCTGCTGTTTGTGCTCTTACTGAAGTGATTGAAAACTTTTCGCTTCATCAACTCGGTCACACCTTGCGTTTGATCAAAGCCCGCAGCCACACCAGCCAGAACTTGCAAATAAAAGCATCCAGACGACCAGTCACGCCCACGACTTCAGCGCACTCGCATTTTAATCGCCGAGAACGATACGGAACATGTTTCGCTTCCTCAGCACAAGCATCGACTCAGGATGGAAAAACAGATAGAGAGAGCACACCACCGTGCGAGTATCTACTGCGCCGTAGAGAGCTCAAATGTCTATCTACGTTTCCATAGCAATAGCACACATTCATGGGACGAAAGCGATGTGCATATCCCCTTGTTTTAAGGAGCACATTCGATCACATGAATAATTCTGTGTGTGCAATTTCAGGCGAAGTAAGCCTGAACTCTGAGCTACATGTATTGTAGTTTTGGGACTTACTGAAACGTACTGTCTAAATGCAGAGCCTTCGGGATTGGAACACCTTCTATGCTGACCTGCACAACGTTTGGCATCGGCCCATACGTTGCCTTTATACAGCGACACGAAAAATACACTGAACGGATTAATTTGGGAACATCATATTATGTGTGACAAATTACTAGTTGTACCTACGGTATCAATGCAAAGGAACGGAAACCCCACCGAGGGTGGTTGTTGAAAGCGATAATAAAGTTAATTCGCAAGCATGCAAGGGAATCTGCATGTTCACCCAGCGCAATATAAATCGGAAATCATCGGGAAAGGTCTGCATTCTACGTTGGACGTAAAATAATGTTGATAGTTATATCCCCTATATGTGAACACGATTATCATTTTAAAAAACTAACAATACTTGAAACAATACTGAGAGAAGAAAATAAAAAAAAAAGATCGTGATTCGCACCGAAGTTGGACATTAACAACACTGTGTCATGAAATCCACAAGGTAGGGCTGTCCGACATCTGCTGCAGATAGCGACATGTTTTTCTTGCAGCGTTAATTTGAAAAAATAAAAAGGGGGGGGGGGGTAGAAAAGTACAACATTCGAAAATGGAAATTCGAACTGACGACCTGCGTCACGACCACTTCTCCATCTGCGCGTCAAGCAGATACGCCACCAGAACTGCTAGACAGTGGCGTCTGAAACATTACTAATTTACGACAACTTGTGGGCCTCCTCACCGCGTAGTCTTTACGATGACGGGACCGTCGCTATATCTGCATCGTTAATATGACGGGTCCCATCACTGTTACGATTTCACTATGGTGACCGGCCCGCTCACTGTAACGATAGTATAGGTGACCAATAAAAGAGCGAGGGATTGTGGGATGCACCGTCTGCTACCGGCTTCCGGTTCGAGAAGAGTAGACGACGGCGAACCACTTCGCCGCAAGCCTCAGATTATTCGGCATTCGTGCGCGCGGTCGCCCGTTTATCTTCGTCCTGATAAACTATAGGTGGTTGTTCAGCCATTGGCTGCTCCAACTCGAGCGTGGAAGGCAAACACACGTATAGATTTGCAATGAATAAAGAAAAAAAAATGAGGTGGGACACGGCTGTGAAGAGAGCCACAGCGAAAGGTAGCCTTTGGGGAAGCCATAGTGTGCAAAAACCATTTCATCACAGGTACATGTGTATTCCACACTAAAGAAAGCTTACGCATGAATTTGCTCAGGGACACTTGATCGATCGTCCGCCCGTCCGCCCATGAGCGTTTTTTATGAAGCTGCGCCGGAAAAAAAAAACTAGCAAATAGGGCTTGAATTACTCACTGAGCCAGGTCACTTGCATCTTGAATCAGCTGCGCACGGTTGAGCACGGGTATCACCTGCAACAATATTTCGTTTTAAGTGCGTTTTATGTCCTATTTGCCTTCTTCGGCTACAGCACCAAGGGTACGCGATGGCAATGACGTTTCGCACCAGCATTTCTGGTACATGCGTCGCTGTACAGACATCTAAAGCTCGGAGCGATCTCGCAGCGTACCCCGTCGTCACAATGGTCTAGTGGCTAAGGCTGCTGACCCGCAGGTCGCGGGATCAAATCCCGCCTGTGGCGGCTGCATTTCCGATGGAGGTGAAGACGATGTATACGCCAATGTGCACATTAAAGAACCCCAGCTAGTCGAAATTTCCGGAGCCCTTCACTAAGGCGTCTCTCATATGGTGATTTTTGGACGTTAAACCCCCCATATCAATCAAATCATCAATTCCAGAGCATGTCAGGCAGATAGCGACATCTTTTAGGAGGAGTGCGTATGAGTTTACAATTCAGCACTCATGATTTACGTGAACAGCAGCAGCAACAGCAGCCCGACCACGCCCACTGCAGCGAAAATGCCTCTCCTGTGTTCCGCCAATAAACCCGGCCGTGTGCTTGCTGCTGCCGCATTGTACCTTAAAGCTTCTTATATGAACTGCACGATGCAATGAACGAAAATGGGCAGGGTATTTTACGTCACGGATTTCACCTGCTCCCGAAAACGCTTTAGTGCCGACGGTGAGTGTTATGAAGGCGGCAGTGATAGGCTGATAACAAGGAGATCAATCACCAGTCTTTATACCTAGCACATCTTTTATAAGCGGGACAAATAAGTTCAAGGCGAAATTTTGGTGATGACGGTAAAGTGAACGATGCAATTTATGGACACTTTGAAGGCGATACCCTAGGCTGTATTTTTATGAGCACACAGATGCTACTTCAGGGGTGCAAACAAGGTGTTGAGCTGGACGGATATCATAATGAAAAGTTAGTTTTCGCACTTCAGTCACCATAAAAACTTTCTCAGGCCGGAAAACCTGTGGTTTCATTATCGGATAAAGGCGGTTATCTGCTCAAAGCAGTTCAACCAGCGTATACTACACATAACCAGTAGCTAATACAGCAACATTTTACAACGTTTTCTAGTATTATTGTATGTACGGCGGGTATTTCCTTAACGGGATTACATGACTTCATTGTTCGCAGATAATGAGTTGCACTTTCTTCAACTCTTCCGGTAGTCCTCATGGTCTTCACTTCACCCTATCTGATAAAAGCTGGTTCCACCCGAGACCTGCGAACTCGTCAACTTCGCTACTCCATCTAACCTGTTGCCATCCTCGGCTTTTTTTTGTTTGTTGTTTGATTGTTTGTTTCCATTGTATCCCATGTGTTGCTATAGGTGACCACCCTTTGCCTGTATTACGTGTCATTGTTTCAGGAACGCTTTAAGTGAAACACCCTTTAACATTTCAGAGTACTTTGCAATGCAATGCTGCTAACAACAGCACTGAGGCTTCGCTATCTGAGAAACAGTAACCGAATGGTTCATAACAAAATGTAACACAGGGCTGGTCAGGGGTTCCTAATGATGCTTAGTTTTCTGAAGTGGTCAGACGCGCTTCGTTGTAGTGATACGACGTATATACACCTCAGGAGCAACGAGCAGTTGTCGTCGAAGAAGTTCCCAGTTTTCCACGTCGTAGTTGACCTTGTAATAGCCGGCCGACTGCAGGTTCACAATGATCCACTCGTTCTTCTCGGGAAGATTTTGCAGCATGGCTGAATAAAGAAAAAATATATACTGGTGACGTCGGCTGCATGGTTAATGGCAAGGAACCCCATGAAGAGTACAACACTGAAAATCTACGGGCAGGAAGGGCCGACACTTGGGCAAACAAAAAATAACAGGTAACCTCATTGTTATCTGTTATGAGGTTTTAATGATAAGGAGGTTTTAGTGATATCCGCGGTTTTACAAGATCAAAACTACAATCAAAATCGCGCCTTAGCGGACGTCTCATAAAGCCCGCAGAAACAGCAGAGCAACACTCGAGTTTCGCTTTCACCGAAATGTGACCGCTGCGGCTGGAATCGAACCAGAGTCTTTCGGATAACTAAACTAGCACAGCAACCAGAGTTGTCCCTATCGTTACGCAGGAAGATGCGGTTGAGCTGATAAGGCCACATCAGTAGGAAATTTTTATCAGTGTAACGCTGTCTGTTCGTGTCTCCGTGGCAACCAAGGTTTATGTAAGAAAAATCAGGTGTTGGCACTAAGCGCGCCTTAGCGGCCAGATAATGTTAGGTCGCTCGGGCGCACACTGTTGTTAGCCGTCAGATGGCGCCGCGGCCAACGTACCCAACGAAGCAGTGCTGGCGCTATGAGATTCCTCTGTCTGCCCAACGTTATCGTTCCTAGTGGCGTGACTCACACTCAAAGCGCGAAGAAAATTCGTTATTTTAGATTAAACTATGAAGCTTCACCAGGTTTAAATATTCATTACAATGAAAATGTATTGTGTAGGCTGGGAACGTAGTCAACACGGATCGATCGGGGAGTGCTGAAAGGTACGTTCGCTCGCTTGCTCTTGTATATTTGTCTTTTTACAGCATTATTTGATGTAGAGAAAAACAAATTTAAAAACAACGTTAGTCAGTTCGTTAGTCCTCCATTAAAATATTTCCCTTTGGGGGAAAATGCAAGGAACTCCCACGTTATTAGATGCAGGAGCATCTGAAACAGTCTCAGATGGTCGAAAGTATTTAGGAGCTCTCGACTATGGCATCCCTCATAATCAAATCTTGGTTTTGATACGTAAACCCCCCGTAATAATTATTACCCCTCTACCAAAAGAGGATAGTTACCGCACCAGAAACGTATTTCATGCGTATCGCTGCTTTCATTTACACAGGAAATCGTTGAATCATAGCTGCATTTCTTTCGTGTGAACGCGATATAAATAATTATTTGAAACGCGCAATTATTCTATATCAAGCACACAAGAGAAATGGAGTTGTTCCGCGAAATATATAAATATTTGAACCACGCAAGTATTTCATAAACGGCGCACTAAAGCAATGCGGTTGTTCGTGGTTGGATTTTACTGTGAGCATTCACATATTTATGCCAACGATAACTTTCACATATCACTTTGAAGAGAAGCACACGTTCGGCACAAGTCCGAGAGCCAGAACGGCAGTTCAGTACTAAACACATTCCACCCATTGCTGGAACCAAGAACCGAACACCTGCCCCGCCGCGGTGGTCTAGTGGCTAAGGTACTCGGCTGCTGACCCGCAGGGCGCGGGTTCGAATCCCGGCAGCGGCGGCTGCATTTCCGATGGAGGCGGAAATGTTGTAGGCCCGTGTGCTCAGATTTGGGTGCACGTTAAAGAACCCCAGGTGGTCTAAATTTCCGGAGCCCTCCACTACGGCGTCTCTGATAATCATAGAGTGGTTTTGGGACGTTAAACCCCACATATCAATCAATCAAGAACCGAACACCTGAGACCTTCGAATAACGCGGTATACATGAACCTCTCGGCAATTTGATGTCACCTTCATCGATAGAATAACATTAAACACACGCGAACAGTAAAGAAAACTGGCTTCTAAAGTGCGTGGTCACGCATGCTAACAACAAGATTGACAGCAAGCGAGTTTCTGCCGAGCGTGCCGCCGAGACGGCTGACCCCACTCGTTTTAACGCGATCTAGGAAGGCACTGCTGAAGCTGCTAGATAACTGATAACGGCCCGAACATTATCTGGACGCGCTGGGATTGCCCTTTCAAGGCGTTACGGGGAGAATGTCAGCACCTGTATATTTTTACACCGTGGTGACAACGCACCGCACCACGTTCCCCCCACCGCAGTTGTTGGAACGATGCCAAGTAGGTCAAGTCACCGCTGCGCGTTAATATATATATCACAGTAAAGAAGTAAAGAGATATCGCGAAGCTTACCTTTTTTAGTTTTCATCCACATGACGGTTTCCGTGTTAGTAAAATTCTTGTGTTCAGCATCTGTGTACGTGATAGGAATGATCCAAAATCTTGACCTGCACAGAGAGGTAAGAGTAAAGCTCCAACGATTGCCGAACAAGCTCTAAAGAAAGACAGAAATGTTCACTTTTACGCTCATTGTGGCAAAAGTAACATACTAACTTGAAATAATTTACATTGTTAGGGGAAACAATTCGGCAGATCCTCCGTACCTGGGAATCGACGTTATGCGAAGCATGCGGAGGGAAGGTGACTGTGTTGCATTTTTTTTATAGAGCGACACTTCATGAATTGACGGTGAATGTATGTACATATGTTGCATGCACAGACATATGTTGAAGAGTTGCAGATGTTCATATAACCAGTTGTTTGCACTTGCGCAACGATGCCAACTGGAACATGCGTATAAGCAACGCCAAAAGCTGATATGGAGCGTTGATGCTCGCGAGGATGCTGCCCTGGACAATGCTACATAAATCAAATTCAGCGCGTGGAAACTAAGCTCAATTGACGTTAACCTGACATGACGGCTGTATCAAAAGAATACATATGTAATGCTTATTAAATTGGGTAGGCAGCACTGCAACCACTATTGACGTTTCACGAAGATTGGTGTCTACTTCAAAAGTAGTTCCGAGACTTGGCGTAGCTCTGTGGTAAAATGCTTCATTACCACGCAGAATGCGTGGGTTTGATTCCTGCTCGGACCCTGTCCTTTATTCTGTGCATTCGTGAAGTCGACGCTACCGATATCGGTTATTTGTTAACGCTCGCGCGTTAAAATTGCCCATGTGTGTTCGCGTTGTTCCTGGGTGTCATGTGTGTTCTCGTCATTCCTGGGTGTCAATCACATGCGGCACATACCCGCATATCAGGGGCCTATACCCGCCCGTGGGTATGTGCCACTGCCTGGTGGGAAGTGCTTGACGACGTACGCGACGGGATTGTGACATTATTCATGTCTTGATCAGTGCGTCATATTCGTCAAACCATCTTACCCACCCATGCTAATTTTGGTTCACGCCAAGTTAAAGGGGTGACCACGAGAGCACCCAAACGTAAGCGTACAGACAGACAGACAGACATAGACAGACAGACAGACAGACAGACATAGACAGACATAGACAGACAGACAGACAGACAGACAGACAGACAGACAGACAGACAGACAGACAGACAGACAGACAGACAGACAGACAGACAGACAGACAGACAGACAGACAGACAGACAGACAGACAGACAGACAGACAGACAGACATACATACATACATATACATACATACATACATACATACATACATACATACATACATACATACATACATACATACATACATACATACATACATACATACATACATACATACATACATACATCATACATACATACATACATACATACATACATACATACATACATACATACATACATACATACCATACATACATACATACATACATACATACATACATACATACATACATACATACATACATACATACATACATACATACTACATACATACATACATACATACATACATACATACATACATACATACATACATACATACATACTATACATAGATAGATAGATAGATAGATAGATAGATAGATAGATAGATAGATAGATAGATAGATAGATAGATAGATAGATAGATAGATAGATAGATAGATAGATAGATAGATAGATAGATAGATAGATAGATAGATAGATAGATAGATAGATAGATAGATAGATAGATAGATAGATAGATAGATAGATAGATAGATAGATAGATAGATAGATAGATAGATAGATAGATAGATAGATAGATAGATAGATAGATAGATAGATAGATAGATAGATAGATAGATAGATAGATAGATAGATAGATAGATAGATAGATAGATAGATAGATAGATAGATAGATAGATACGCTGAAAGTTGCCCAAGTTCGCTAAGAAATGCTTCGCATTCAAATCAAAGCTCCACTTTAGCTCAAGAAAAATACCGGAGAATATGCGGCGCACTGCCATCGTACACTGTTGAAGGATAGTTATCGCAAGTACTCAGTATGTAAAAAAAAAGTCATTTACTTAGAACAAATTTATCGAAAGACAGTCTGGCGTGCCTTGTAACCTGAAATTTACATCTCACTGTGTTGTTTATAAAAAAAAAAGTGCGAAAAAACTGATTGGCCTGCACGGAACATGCACCACAATCGCAGCGAAAGCTGGAAGAGCGGTATTTCAGAGCTTTTCTTAAAGCCTTGGGAAACTGCTACAAGTGCACTTGCAGGGTACCCACTACGCCACCAATCATAATTTTGGTGTAGTAAGGAGGCATTCATTACGCCATCCTCCGTCAATCTTCGGAGAAGCGTGGTACCCGCTGCACACTTGCAAGAAATCTGGTGCAATTTTCTGATATTGTGGCTAACGACAACGAGAATTATGCCTGAAGCTTTTGTAATGGGTCGGAGCATTCGACGACCCACTCGTTACGCACTTCGCAATGTTGGACGCCTGGTTATTCCTTTGCTGTTCTAAAACGCTTTATTACTCATATTAACGCGATTCCTTTCCGAGCAGTGATCATACCTACTTAAGGTCAGTTTGCAACGGAGTTTCAAGCACTGGCGCCGCTCTGCGGTAGAATACTGGGCTGGACCAGATTTCGTTGTTTCTTTGGTGTGCGATACTGGTTGCTGGCTGTGCCAGTGGAGAACTACAGCGTACGCGACGCCTGTTGTGATTTCATAACAGGTTTCGCTGTATTAGAAGCCGAAGAAGCGCCCATGGCGGTCGGGCCGTAGGGGAAGCTCATATTTGTTCAGCGAACTGGTGGTGCAAGAGCTGAACAACTGACGAAGAGAGAACCACACAGCATGCGTTTTCTTCCTTGATCCGTTGTCTGTTATGTAGACAACCTCTTGATCATTTTAGTGGGATAATCAGGGTTAACAGTGGAAGCGCCTCAGACTGGCTGACCGATGTTTCGATAGGAAGACCTATCTTCTTCAAAGGCGCCGTGTCATCCTTGGCGTGTTAGTTTTAAAGGTTTAGTGCTGACGTCAACTGCTGGTGGTGGCGTGTGTCTCTGTTGGTATTCGCCGTCTGAAAAGCAAAGAAACTATAAAACAGAAGAGGTGCTGTCCTCGCTTCCCTTCAAGATTGATTGATTGATTGATTGATTGATATGTGGGGTTTAACGTCCCAAAACCACCATATGATTATGTCGCTTCCCTTCAAGTCAGGTGGAGGTGGTTGTGATTCGAAATTGTTGCGAGTTCAAAATTCAAAAGTGAGTTCATCGCAGCTTATCTTTGGAATTCAGGATTTTCAGCTAGACAGAGTGATATCGATAGTTAAGCTTGGTGTTGCGTTTCAACTACTCAAGCAGTGTTATGACAAGCGTGGGTGACATATGTTGGCGCGATACAGCACGCAAGACAATTGCTGCTGTGCGCAAAGAACAGCGCCCTGACATTTTGGTTGCCTCAACGTATAGGCACGATCAGAAGCGCCGCTAGTGTGGACGAGGCATTGCTTCTCGAAGGTGGACTATATGACACAGACGGAAGATAACGATGTTAGGCACTGTCCAGTAACTATTAGATAATGTTGAGCATAGTTTTGATGTTATGATGAGTCTGACTACATCCTGCCTCATATTCCATTTCTTGATCGTCCACCCATGTCGGAACTCATCATCAGTTCTGCAGGAATTGAAAAGGCCATTGAGTCTATCTTCGTCTACAGAAGTTGACAACATGAGCTAAAAAATACTGAAAAGTACAAAACATGTATGTAGTGTCATTCTTCAAAGCAATTTTCAGCAGTCACTTTCGACTCGAGTGGTGCCACGAAACTGGAAAGTAGGAAAGGTCATTCCTGTCCCGCCCATAAAAAGTATGTCTTCCTCCCCTAACAGCTATCGACCCATATCATTGTCGTATGTTCGCTGTAAACTAATGGAGCACATCATTTACGCCCACCTAGCTAATTATCTTCTTTCTGTTGATTACTTCCACCCAAACCAGCAAGGTTTCCGAAAAGGCCTTTTTTGTGAAACGCCGTTAGCATTATTTTTAATTACAATAGCTTGATGTTAACGTACGAGTAGATGCTCTATTCTTAGATTTGGAGAAAGCCTTAGACAAGGCCCTACATTAAAGACTTTTTAAGCTGTCACGCCTGAACCTTCACCAGCTTGTACTAGTACTAAACTGGATCTAAGTTTTTTTTTTTTTTTTTTTTACTAAGAAAACACGATGTGTCTGTGTAAGCACTCACTCTTTGCAGTCATCTCTCGTTAAGTGAGGGATTCTACAGGGGTCTGTACTTGGCCCTCTACTCTTTTTAATATATATGAACGACCTACATACTGACATTTCATTTAACACCAGATTATTCGTTGACGACTCCGTCACCTATCGGCCAATTCACAACAACAACATCCCAGCGCTTCAGTCTTACCTAAAGAACATAAATGACTGGTGCTCAAAACGGCTTATGTCCCTAAACGTCAATAAGGCATATCTTTTTTCACTGCAGGAAAGACTAACGTGCACCTCAATATCTTCTTTATAATTCCCTTGTTCAATCTGTTACTTCATATACGGATATCTCTGCATTGAACTCCCTACTGATCTTTCTTGGATGCCCCACATCACCAATATAAGGAACAAAGCTGAACGCGTACTTGACTATACCTACGCCGGTACTTACGCCTAGCCCCACCTTCAGTAAAACTATTATCATCTAACACTCTACTGCGACCAAACTTAGAAAAGGCATGCGTCATATGGGATCACTTCAAATATAACCTGATTCAAACAATAGAATATTTTCAGAATTGTGCGACCTGGTTTAACGTTTCTGATTATTCATACAACAGCAGCATTACCGAGCTAAAATATCGCGTTAGCTTTCCCGATCTTGCTGTTCGTCGCGAAATCGCCTGCCTTTGTCTTGTTCTTAAATTGTATCACGCTGCCCCTCACACATCTGTGATCATTCCAGCTCATCACCATTCTAGCAGACTCAACCAGACCAACGCCGTTCTCCCGCCCCATGCTCGGACTGTAGCTCACTCATCGTCCTTGCGCCTAAAAGCTGGAACGCTCTACCTGCCGGTACCGTTCACCACTCCAGCTCAGTACTCTTCAAAGAAGAAGTTGTGAAACAGTGCTTATGTTGAATTGTTGACCACCCCTCATGTAAAACCCCTAAACTGGGGACGTGGAGGTAACTGAAATAATAAATAAATAAATAAATAAATAAATAAATAAATAAATAAATAAATAAATAAATAAATAAATATGCTTTGTGCTGAGGCCATCGGTGATTGTAATGTGAGGTTTAACGGCCCAAAACCACCATATGATTATGAGAGACGATGTAGTGACGGGCTCCGGTAATTTTGACCACCTGGGGTTCATTAACGGGCACCAAATCTGAGCCAACAGGCCTACATCACTCTCGCCTCCATCGAAAGTGCAGCCGCCGCAGCCGGGATTCAATCCCGCTTCCTGCGGGTCAGCGCCCGAGCTCCTTAGCCACTAGACCACCACGGCGGGGCTGGACTGAGGCCAGTACTTATACAGATCATCTCAGAAATAACTGAACAAAGTTCTTTTCGTTACCGGAAAAAATGAGGATACGATTGAGTCCAGCGTACATGGGGCATTCAATTATCTTCGTTGTATTCTTGTTTTTTTTTTATTATGCATTTCTGAGGACCCCTACTGCGTTCCAGCCGCAAAACTGTAGCACATTAGTGGTTGAAAGGGTGCCATTGACTTTCAAGTAAAAGTCCCCACACGATGAGCAGAAAGTCACCGAAATTCGCCATTTTTCAAGAACTATCAACAAAAAAGTCGCCACTCTAGATGTATTTGCATGCCTAGTAAAAAAGTTGGACATTGTGTGGTGCCCTGCACAATGCACTACTATCAATAATCCCTAAACTATATTCACATTTTTCATTGCCAGTCGCATTTCCCGATTTATTATGGGAGTGCTTGGTGCGCCTGGTTCCCCGACTAGACGTGAGATGCACTTGGTGGCGCAAGAGCTGCACTTGTTATGAATGGAACGCTCATGACCATCCTCCCATAGCAATCTGCTGAACACCGGAAAAAACGGAAATAACTTATTCGTAAGTACTGTGTAACCTTCACAATGCACGCACCAAGTTTTTTGCGTGGCCAAGCTTATGCTACACATTAGCCTCACTGATGTAGCTGAAGGCCGCTCAGAGAGTCTGGCTTCTTGGTAGACCGAAAAATGGGTTAACAAAAATAAGCTCTACGTAGTGAATACTGCAGCAGTGACAAAGTCGAGCAGCATTAAAAAAATGGAGCTATGTTCGAAACACGCGGCTTAATTATCATCAAGCCACTACAGAAGTCAAACTTTAGAGAAGCCTAAAGCATCTTGAAGAACTTATTTCATTCCGCGGCCTCGCGGCAAGCGAACCATCCACTGACTTACACTTTGCCGGTAGGCTGCTGGGTGACGCACCAGCACCTCCGTAATCTAGATTAATTAGAAAAACACGACTGACGCACTGAATTGCGCAAAAAGTGTGACTTTTACATGTTAGTTCAAAGGAAGAAAAATGACAAGATGTTGCCCATTCATTAGGAAGACACTGAGCACATAATGCATGATAGACGTAAGCCGAAAACTGCCAGAAATTCGCCATGTCGCCATTACTAATATTAGGTCGCCACGAGCCTCTCGAATTCGCCAACTTGGCAAAAAGTATCCACCAGTGGCAACCCTGGTTGAAATCAAGATAATAGAAGCTAAGAGAAAATAGAACCTTGAATAAATGCAAAATCCTTCAATAAGACGATGTCGCTTCATCAGGGCGACAGTCAGTTTCGCTATTGAAGGACTTGTAGAAACGTCGGCTCCAACACACACACACCCTGTTTGCGAATTTGTCATCTCTCCAAAAGCGGTTTAATTTTAGGCCAACGCACGTCGATAGTATCCACCATACAGTTTCCTCAAATTAAGTATAGGGGACTCGGTCGCTTCGATCGTTCAGCGACCATGGGAATGATGGGTAGTACACGGATTTGCATAGTCTTTGTACTTGCCGGCCTCGAATCGCAATTGTGGCTAAAATTATTGCTGTGTTTTGGTTTTGTTTTCAATGAAAGAAAAAGCCCTTTTGAGCCTCGTGACCCGATTTGGAATGGCAACCTTAAACCATTAATAGTGAAGTGTAATTGCTGAAGATCTACCCATTTTCGTTTCGTGACAAAACAGCTTCAAGCCACGCGCGCACAAGCGCAGAATAGACAAATCCGTGTACTACCCATCATTCCCATATTCGCTGAAGCGCCGTGTACTGCAGCTCCCATAGACAGTGGAGCCACAGTTCACTCTAGTGTATCTATGCAGTACATAGACTCACCAGCTCCGAGGAAGAAGAACAGATACACGTGGTAAGGGCGCTCCGTGTTCCCCATACTCACTCGTCGGGCCTGACGCAGTGGTGCCTCTGGGTGAGTAAGGCTGTGCGCGCTTCGTAGTCTCGCACAACGTCCACCACCGGGTAACCAGGCTGCCTGGTCCACGTGTCCATCACTTCCTTGACGTCCACTCGGACACGGGGACCACCTTCGGGTTGGGCCTGCGTGTAGGGAGAAGTGGCAACAGCACTCTTTTTGTCGAGAAAGCAAGGAACATAACGTGCTGCAGAGAGAGAATACATTCACAAGTGTGATGAAGAAACATCCGCGAGATTTTTTATGTATTGTCTCGGCTTTTTTTTCGTCGTCACCGCCGCCATCGCCGTCATTCACGTGTATATATCTATATGTATATACGGGAAAGAATGCGCTAGCCTCGTCTTTTTGCGGAGCGAACGCCACATTTCCGGCCGCGGTCGTCTGCGCGCATGCTTATCTCGTGATCGAACAAAATGAGGGGGAGGGGGGGGGGGCGCTTGTGGTTGCCGCCTTATCGCGGCAATGATCAGCGCGCACCTTGTGCCCCCACAGCAGGCAGGAGCTTCTACAAACTGCGCTCTTAACACACACACATAAAAACGGTGCCAAGAGTGTACCTGGAGCGGCCATGTTCTCTTACACAGGCATTTTGTAGAGTTACGTGAGATCGGATCTGATTGAGTTGACGGCCAGCCTCACTTCGTATAACATTGCAATTTGTCGCTATCCCATTCGTTGCTTCACCTTTTCTGTGAAACTGATTTTGTGCAATCATCCCTGCCATAGTCGCGAACTGCACTTGACGACATGCGCACAAGTATACATAGCCACCGAGAAAGCTTCTTGAAACACAGCTAGGTATCCAGTGGCTACGCACGTTTTGCAGGTTCTGTACGCTTTGTCATAAGTTATTCAAGCCTGATGCGCAGTGAAGGTTCTCATTGTGTTCTCACAATTTCATGCATTTACGGACAGAGACAAGCCAATACCACAATCGCCTTTATGCCCGTGTCTGCATGGCTTACCGACCATGCACATTTGGCCAAAGTGTAATGCGCATGGTTGGTAAGTAAAATTTCAAAATATCAGGCTACAGCAAGCCAAAGTGTATGTATACACATGCCAGCTTATACGCAAAGCCACTACTGCCGAGTGTGTTCAGCTGGTCCTCTTCAATGTATCCCCACGCATGCAGACGTGTGCCACACTGTTGTGAGAGCGTCGTTAGAGGCATGTTCTACAAGACTACAGCATCTTACCTACATTGATCATACGGCGCTTACCATATAAATTCGCCGAACAAACATGAACAAAAGAGAGACTGTAAAAAGGGTCAAAGTTAACAGGCTTTTTTCTTTAATTCCTTCATCTGCCAGTACCCATACTTCAGCTTCTTGTAGTTTGTACTCTTCTATGTTACAGCTTTTCATGACTTTTTGGCAAAATGACTCTATAGAAATTGAAAATAGGAGGGAAGGCAAAGGACAGCTCTGTCGTACAGAACGTCTGACTTCAATTCCGCTGATAGATCACCTTTCGCGGCAGCGTCATAGCGCCCTCGTCAGCGCCGCAAAGAATGCTCGAGTACTCAAGGTCGTCTACACTCCCCCTGCCCGCCCGGTGAGCCAGTGTTTCCCCACTCATACTAGCCACAGTAGTTGCTGCCAATGGGCTGTTTCTGTAGCGCTGCAACGCGTCCATCATGGGCTGCTTCTTTTACTGCGATAGCAATTATATGGACACTCTCGGCTGAATTTTGCCGCCGGCGTCAGCGATACTTTCATAATCTTTACAAAACACAGCTATATTATCTGCGTATGCCAGTACCCGTACAACATTCACAAACAAATGTACATAAAACAAAGGACAAACATGAACAAAAGAGAGACTGTAAAAAGGGTCAAAGTTCACAGGCTTCTTTTTTTTTTATTCCTACATCTGTAGAAGGCTTTCTACTTAATGAAGCCATTCGGGCACCTCTTATTGAACCTTTTGTGATTCCACGAATGAACAGACAGATTGAAAGAAGCATTGCCGAACCGGAGGTGCATTAACATCAGCATGGCGCACCGCCATTGTAGATTGCCATATACTGTGCAGGCCCAGTAACATAACTGGGTCGAAAGGTATTCCTTCTTCATTTGATACTGATAGAAATCTGATGCCGTAGCCATCAAGAGGCTGATCCTTTTTTCAAAGTTCTTTGGAGAACACCTCAGAAAAAGATTGCATCCCAGCAGTCCGGGAAAACGTGTTCGATTGTTTCCGGTTTTTTTTTTTTTTTTTGCGGAGAAGACATTGAATGATTTATATGTGGGGTTTAACGTCCCAAAACCCCCATATGATTATGAGAGAGCCGTATTGGAGGGCTCCAGAAGTTTCGACCACCTGGGGTTCTTTAACGTGCGCCCAAATATGAGCACATGGGCCTACAGCATTTCCGCCTCTATCGGAAATGCAGCCGCCGCAGCCGGGATTCGATCCCGTGAACTGCGGGTCAGCAGCCGAGCACCTTAGCCACTAGGCCACCGCTTGCAGAGAAGACAATCATCACCCCAAGGAACAAATAAGCGTTTTTCTTGCATCCATGTTTTCACGGGCAAGGTCCCAGTGTGCAATTTAAAGAAAAAGGATTTCGCTCCAGGTGATACCTTCATTTTTTTTTTTTTACACGGCTTAAGACATTCTGGCCTAGGTCTATACGGTATAATATTCTATATAGGGGAACAGGCAGAACTATTTCTGCTAGATTTTTTATAACTTTTTACGTGGAACTGTACTGATGTATTCAAATGAAAAACGTGTTTTTAGAAAGAGACATGAATCAACTTCTTTTAGCTAACCTCTAATGCTCGCCTTTATGTGACCAGATGCTACCACAAATTCTGGCAACCGTCTTCCAAGCCTAAGCTGTATAGCACTACGTATGAATGGGTCTCGATTATTTCGGAAAAAGATGAACCGATTAACTAACTGACGAAGGTACAAATGACACAGACCAAGCCCACCAAAGCTAACCCGTCTGAATAAGTTAGTTCTACTTGCTCGCTTCCCAGAAGAACCCCACAAGGAAACAGCAAATATTTGATGAAACTTCTGTAAATGCAATACGTGAACAATGCAATACGTGAACAATGCAATACTTGAAGGACATACCAGAGCATACTGACTAAAAATATGTTACAAAATGTCACTCTGGCAAAAATTGATAGCTGGAAACCTTTGAGTTGTTCAGCTTTTTCTCGTAGCTCCACGGCCTGATGCCGCCAGTACGACTCACTCTCACAATAATATTTTAATGGCACATCTAGGTATCGCACCGAAGTGGTAGTCCATGAAATGCCAGCCACGAATGCTAGAGTCACAGGCCATTTGCCGTGCCAGTAACCCACGCACTGGCTCCAGTTTATCAAACTACCAATTGTATTACAATGAACGTTCACAATTTTTATGGTTTCAGCGATACTTTCATAATCTTTACAGAAAACAGCTATATCACCTGCGTATGCCAGTACCCGTACTTCAGCTTCTTGTAGTTTGTACTGTTTTATGTTACTGATTTTCATGATTGTTTGGCAAAATGACTCTATATAAATTGAAAATAGGAAGGAAGACAAAGGACAGCCTTGTCGTACAGAACGTCTGACATCAATTTGTTTTCCAAGAACTTTGTTGATGATTAGCCGAGTTTTACATCCAGTATATGCCATTCGAACTGTATCCTGAATTGGTGTTCCTGAATTGAACGTGGTGTTTTGGTAATAAAAATGGGTATTTGCACCAGACGATATGAACTGCAGGACGGAGACGTACCATAGTAATTTCATGCTTACCTTGGTGAGTGCCGCGAAGAGTTGGTCCTGATCCGCGTTGCCGAAGCTGTACTTCTTTAGGTAAGCCTGTAACATCAGCGCGACGTGAACATAATATCTAAATGTGATAATAATCCAATGGGTTCACTTAAATTATTAATTAAGTAAGAAAAGAAGCCTCTATGCGGCACAGTATGTCCCTGCGAGCTGGTTTGTTCCGTGAAACTTGGGTTTTTTTTTTTTTTTCAGCGATAAAGAGGCACTGCTTGCATCACTTGCGGAGTACAGATGTGCGATCCCTACAGCGCTAACCTGTCACTGTTGACAACATGCTTCCTGAAAAGAACTTCCTGGTAGTAAAAGATGGTAAACGTTGAAAAACGTGCCGCAGCATATTCATTGATGTCACTAAATGATTCGACTGCACTTGTACCAGTAAACACTAAAACAACACAGTACAGCAAAAGATAATTGTCAGTACTGTCAAAGTATCCTTGATAGCCACTTAACGTTGCTGTCATGCAGCAAAATGCACGTCCGCCAGTTCTGAACACACTAATATGAACCAAGCTTCTCTAACAGTATATCGCATCAGGGTTTATACGTCCGAAATGTTCTGCATATATATATAGCGTCGTGTGTCGTTTTTCTGTGGTTTTTGTGGAGCTTAACAGAACGAGACATAGTAGCAAGAACGACTAACAGGAAATTTTGCCTTAACAGGCGCAGCAATAAATACATGATACGTAAAGTCAGTAACCAAATAGGCAACCTTAGCTTTGTCTGCACAGGTTTACGTACCCTGAGGCCCTTGAGGAAGATCGGAGGCGAGAGGAAGTATGACATCATTCGCACGATAGACGGTCCCTGCGAGTGAATCATTCAGACTCTTTTGGAAACTGTGCCCAATCGAAGCATCTTTCTTGCTTTTTTTTTTCAGCGACAACATTCGGTTTCACAGCGAAAAAAAAAATCTGGCGTGTGCAAACCTGGGCCCACGGAGGTACTCTCGAATATAGATATACGCGTATATTATATAGGTTAGCTAAGGCCGCCAGGTTAGGCAAGAAAAAATATCAAAAATGGCAGAAAAGTGGCATTTCTTCTCGATACAAACGTCAGTGTGTCAGAGAGATTGTTGAGGTGGTCTAAATTTTTCAGCTACTTTTCATTGATTAATTCACACTCCTACATTCTAAATAAGGTTACCTATTGCAAAGGTGGACTTTTTCACATTTTTGTGCACTTATAACCTAAAGGTTACATCACTGTAACCTTTTCATTTCCAGCCTTTTAATTGTCACAAAATTAAAGGTTAAACCTTGTTTATATACGGTACGCCCTTTTCTTTCGGAATGTGATTTTGCAAAGGTATATATATATATATATATATATATATATATATATATATATATATATATAAATATAGAGAGAGAGAGAGAGAGAGAGAGAGAGAAATTCAAAAGACAGGGGTTACATTAACAACGTCCTTTATTAAAATGTCCTTCGTGCTTTCTCATGGACTTAAAAGGCATGTCTCATATGCTGCAATGTGTCCTGTATACAATACAATATCCAACCAGGAAAACGGTGAACGAAGGCGAACAAAAGCATCGTTGAAGTACATGGTTAGCACGCATTCTTCTTTTTTAACAGCAAAGGAAAATTTTTCAGGCGGTTTGTGAGCAGTCCCCGCTTCTACTCCCTGGAAGCCGAGAACGAAAAGCAGGTTGCTGTGAGCAGCCCGACATTCCATCATTTTCATTTTTGCATCAGCTGCGTGACTTGCTTTCGTATAGAAAAAAAAAGAAATTTAGGGCACAATAATAATGTGAACTTAGTCAATGACGCCAAGGAAGGCATAGGGCATGTTAGTAGTATTTGTATTGTAGATATTAATAAAGAAAAGTGAACGAAAAGTAATTTGCTGCTGGCAGGGACCGCGCCTGAAAACCTCAATAACGCGTTCGATGTTCTACCAACTTAGCTACGGTGGCGGTCATTCCTAAGTCCGCTTTATGGGTATGGGCATTTGAACGCGGGAGAGTCCGTCAGCGCCGCTAGCAGCCATGTGGGCGAGTGTGGGAACACTCCATTACTGCCCGTTGACGTCACGTAGTACGTGATCTTATGACGAGCTGGCATTGGCCAATAAGAGCAGTATAGAGCATGGTTCTTCGAAGGTCGCCGGTTTAGGCCGTGCCAGCGACAAATTATTTTTTCACTCTTTATTGATTATTCACATCTACATTACAATACCATGCCCTATGCTTTCCTTGGCACCATTGTCTGTTAGTTCTCGTTGGGACTCTTCCAATTGGATGGGAGAGAGGGGCGAAATTTCGCTTCGTCTATAAAGAACCCTGATCATGCATATGATATTTCTGATATGAATATGATTTAGTGTCCCTACCCCCCTTAGGTGATTTAGGCAAAGTAATACACATGTACAGTCATTTGCTCAAGCTGCACTCGTTTGCTCGAGTAAGCAGCCAAACGGCACGATTCTGTCTGACCTTGTTGTAGACGATTCGGTCAAACAGGCTGTCCAGTTCGGTGGAGAAGTTCCCGTCCACAGACAAAGGGTGGCTCTCGGTGTTGTATTCCGCCTTCATGATGGGCATCATGTCGGTCACGGTGAACTGGTTCAGCTGCGTGGCAACGACGTATTCGCAAATGCTCTTTCGCGTTACAGAAATCGCAATGCGAAATATTCCTTTAGGATTCGCTGAGCTTCAGTTTGAGTCGAGTAGTGTTTATGAACACGGGCCTTAGAAACGGAATGCTCGAGTAATATTGCTTCACCGAGAACAGCCCTAGCAAGAAAGCAAGGATTAACATAGCACTGTTATGTCAAATGACACCTGAAAAAAAGGCATTTTTTGTAGGGAAGGCACAGTGCATCTGCACATCAAATAATTTTCGAGGAACGCAAAGCTAGCGCTTGTGTCATCCCTATTTGCTTTCCGTTCCTTGCCTTGATTCACGTTACGCCTTTACTCAGCGAGTTCGTTCTTGCGCTGCAATCATTTTGCGTGCATTCGAGATTTGAACACTCCACATTACGGCTGGCGTGGTAACCCAAGTCGCCCGTCACGCCACTACTTGGCGCTTCACGTGGTCGCAGCCAGAAACGTATAGGCAATTTTTTTTCGGGGGGGGGGGGGGGGGCATGGGCTCAGTGTGTTACCTCCTGGCTATGCCACTGGTCGCAGCAAGCATGGAGTCATACAACTCGTTGGCCGCATAATGGCTACTCTTAAGCGGTGCGCCTATGCTTGCACATAATTAGGCAACCCCAGTAGAGGTATTGCTTGTTTTTGTGTGTGTGTGCAATTTTTAATGAGAATTAGCGATACGTAGGGTTCGTCTTTCTTGCGGAGCCACATGCAGTGACCCTGATGGTTCGCCGAGGGTCACATCTGGTAGTCTTGGGCATTCACGCGAGTCTCGCTGGTGTAGGTCTTCGCAAATAAAAACATAGGCTCCCTGCCAATGCCTGTACTGCACTACACCTAAATACTGTTTCTCTCTCTCTCATGCCGACTAATCAAGCAGGAAAATGTAGAATGTGCCAAAAAATGTACAATATTATTATTCCAAACCAACAGCTTTCTTTGGCTTGCCTACCGACCTACGGAATCCGTGCATGCTTGTGTACGACTACTCTACACTTCCACTCCACAATGACCGACTTCCGGCAACTTGCAGCGCTTAATCAATGCTGTCGCTACACAGAGTGAGGAGACATGCACTCACAATGCCCCACTCTGGATGAACGGCGTCGACGCCCAGGTACTGCATGTAAGATGCGAAGCCCTCGTTGAGCCACACGTCGTTCCACCATCGCATTGTCACCAGGTTGCCGAACCACTGCGTCACATTCAAGAACCACGCATGTGCTGTGCAGGTGGTAGCTGTAAACATGACCTCAAAATATCTGCAGGCCAAGGCCTATTTCTGCAATTTATGTCACCTTATCGACAGGCTAACCCAAATAAAACGGGCGTTTTATTTGCACACACGTGCGACACATTAAATATACTCTCGCTTTATGCAATCGCAACGTCGTCAGACATTTTCGACTACCCGTTGAAGTTTTTACTAGCCTGTTTTCTTTTTATAACTCCCGTACTTTGGTATCCGTTCCCATTAACATCAGATCATATGAAAAGTTTTAAAAATATATATACCATCTCCTGCTAAAGGGGACCATGAGGCGAATCGAGGCAGTGCGGGAAACGCACCGGTTGACTAGGTGTTTTCAATAATGTTTTCGTTATGTTGGATATTTAGTGTTGTCTTTTGTGTTGTGTTGTTGTTTATGTTCTGTTGTTAACGTAGTCAAACTGATGCAAACACAGTGTCCACCCCCCAAGCTGCTCTACATCGCCTTATGGTCCACTTTAGCGGGACATAGTGTAATTTTATTGGTGTTTGCACTCTCGAATCCCAGACATTGAAGGCCTCTAGCGAGGAGTTCTGCACGGGCGTTGGACTCGCGCCGTCTGTCCGCAACCGACGCGTTGGCTCAACGCTGACGCTTGGCTTCAACGTCGGCGTTGTGTACGGCGGGGTTTGCTTTCCGACGCTGCCGTTGCGTTTGGGCATGTCGTACCCACGTTTCATCCGTAGCAGTTTCCCGCCGACGCTGCCGTGTAGAGCGGAGGCTGTGCTCTTGCCACATCCTCCACCCCACCTCCTCGCGCTCACGCGATAGGAGGGAGAGTTAGCGCATGCGCAGTAAGCGTGGTCACGCCACACGCACACCGGATTGAACTCCGCCATAAGCTTCGCATCGGAAAATGCCTCACGATTAGCAGCGGCAAGGAGAGATGCGGGATCGTGCACCGAAAGGTTATTTCAAGCCGACATCAACCACATAAAGCAGGCATTGTGCAGACGCACCTGGTGCGCCAGTTCGTGCGAGATAACCGTTGCTATGACCACTTTGTGCGTGACGGCGTCCTTGGTGTCACTGAAGAGTAGGCTGTTCCTGTGGAAAGTGAGGAGTCCCCAATTTTCCATGGCGTCAACCAGGAATGACGGAAGCGCAGCCAGGTCTGCAACAGCCAAGTACACAATGAGAAGCACGTGTGGAGTCAGTGGAGTATTTTTTTATCTAAACACAAATACGAAAGTAGTACGAAGTAGTAAAGTATCTATCTATCTATCTATCTATCTATCTATCTATCTATCTATCTATCTATCTATCTATCTATCTATCTATCTATCTATCTATCTGTCTAGCCGCCTACGACTATTTGCTCTCCTGGCCGTTTCGTTAATGGTATCGATACCAAAATTGTTATGACCTAACATGAGTGTGTGACGAGCACAAGTGACTAGTAATAACATGAAAATCATCACATGTATGTCATTTATGTCATGAATTGCATCTTATGGTCTTGGTACTCTTGCGATGGTTTCGTTCACATGACATCGTACAAAACTGGTATAGTATGACATCACTGCATGGCAAACATAAGTGACAGACCCTAACGTGAAAATCATGACATGCGTGTCAATTAAGTCATGACTACATGCTACACTCATGGAGCACTCGCGGTCGTTTCGCTAGCTTTACATATACGAAATCAGACGTTACGTGACGTCGCTGGATTACGAAGGTATATGACTGGTGCAAACATGATAATCGTGAGATGTATGTCATTTAATTGATACGTGAGGTTTAACGTCCCAAAATCATCCCATGATTATGAGATAAAGTGTGGGATTGGGCTAGTTGGCAATGCATTATTGAACTTCTCAGCAAAAAACTTCCGACAAGAAACACAAGAGACGAAAACGAGCGCAGACTTTCAAGAAAATTTATTGCAAAGTTTTCCGACAAGAAACACAAGAGACGAGGACGAGCGCAGACTTTCAAGTAAATTTATTACTACTACGACGCACATATATATGTTACAAAAAAGACGATAAGATCACTTGCTTAGGCAGAAACCAGAAAACACAAAAACAAGAAACACAAAACCAAAAGCCAAAATAGACAAAGAAACCACGTGCTCCTCGTCTCTTGTGTTTCTTGTCGGAAGTTTTTGCGCTGAGAAGTTTAATAATATGATTACGATAGACGCTGTAGTGGAGGGCTCCAGAAATTTCGACCACCTTCGATGCTTTCGACCACCTTCGATTCGATGCCGCGATATGCGGCTGAGCAGCCGAGTACCTTAGCCACTACACCACCGCGGTGGTGCGCGCGCGTCACGTAAGAGCATGACCACATGCCACGCTCATGATGCGCTCGCGGCCGTTTCACTAGCTTCACAAATACCTAATGTGGCAATACGTGACGCGAATGGACGACGAAGGTAAATGACACGTGCAGACAGGATAATCATGACATGCGTGACAAGTACAACATGGCCACATGCTACGGTCATAGTACTTTCGCAGTCGTTTTGTTAGCTTCACACATGCCAAATCTGGTATTACGGGACGTGAATGAATGACGAAGATATATGACTGGTGCAAACTTTATAATCATGATACGCGTGTCATATAAAACATGACCACATACAAAACATGACTACATGCTACGAGCGTGCTCGCAACCCTTTCGCTAGCTCCACATATACCAAATTCGGTATCAAGCGGCGTGAATAGAAGACAAATGTAAATGATACGTCCAAACATGATAAACATCACATAGAAGCCATACTGGTTGAAGTGCTGTTTCTGAAATAAAATTAGTTGCTAGTGTAGCGAGTGTCGTGTTTTCTTGTCCTCTGTGTCCCCGTCGAATTTGCACTACTACACCATATGGTAAAATGACAAGAAAATCATGTACGGCATAATTTACGTCCGCCTCGTAACGTTGTGCTGATTTTGTGCTGAGTCATATCAACCTTCCTCCTTCCTGTTTCGCATATCATCGGTTGCCACTGTACGGGGGATCTGCCTTTTTTTTAGTTAGTGCATATGCCAACTTTTTTTAAGAGTGTAGGTTTGAGCCTGCAGACGAGCTGCTGAAAGAAAGCAGCGAGCGACTCAACCGAAGCAATGGCTTTGCAGCGAACTTTGTTGTGCGCACGGTGCTAGTCGCAAGCCTTGACACAATCTGCAATCGTGCCCTGGTATTTCTTGACACATTCTGCATAAATTCCTCTGTGATCGTTTGTCAAAAAGACAAAGTGGTAAATTTTCTTATACACGCTTGAGAATTCATATATTATCGGTAAGCAGTATCGCCCGATCAAAAGGAGCACATCATTTTTCGCATTACTCATGTAAATTTAAATGTATTTCAAACGTTTGTTGCGCCCAACACTTCGTGTTCAGCGTATACCGAATAATCCTGCAGCGGGATTTTTATAGCCACAATATTTGGTGTTTTAACTCTATTAAACTCCTGGAGGTCTAAATTAGCCCGAGACCTCCTCTAAAGCACCTTTGATAGCATTAGTTGCTTTGAGAACCTAAACTTCTCTAACCAACCAAACCAACCTTGCTTGCCTCGGAGTTGAAGCGGAAGTGATTTCATATCGCTTTATATAAAAACAAACACCACACGAATAATATTTTGGTTAGGCATACATCGCAGATAATTCCCCAGCTAGGCACACGCGATCAGGAAACTTGCCAATTTTGGGCAGGACGTAGGGCACATCCAGGAGTCGTTCAAAGTAGTCGATAATCATAGGTGTGATCTCGGCAGCATAGCCAGCCTGGTCTGCTTCGTCGGGCCGCGTCCACACGGACACCTGTGAACACGGGCGGCGATCACGTTTACAGCGATGCACGCCCCGCAGTAAGGGCGATTCTATCTGCACTTAAGCTGCTCAGGGGTTCATGTGACCCGAGAGGAAACGTCACGTGAGACGTCATACAGTATACGTACAATTTCAACAAAAGGTGGCGCAGTATAACTATCACTATATTGCCCGCGTCAGTGATTGACAGATGTCACTGAGATGTTGCAGCAGCCTATTGCGTTGATTCGCAATTCTGCGGGGGGGATCAAATTTAAGCCTTACGTTTTTCTTAAAATTCAGCAATAGCTACGTGAAAGCTACCTTTGAAAATAATTTACGTATCCATGGGTACACAGTCATTATTGCCACCAGTCATTTAATGAACTAAGATAACTTTTTAGTGACTGCAGCAATCGGGCATGCGTATATCTTGGAGGCAGTGGTGCTACTACACGTTCTCACTTCAAAGGACTTCTCTGTGCAGCGAGATATCCCGCTGTAAAGTTGAATTGCGGTGAACATAATTGCGCGTGCAAGGCAGTCAGCACCGGCGCAAAGCTCCTCCCCGATGTGCCACGGCAGTAGAGTGCGGAGTTTAATCTAAAAACGGGTAGAAGAGATAGACGAAGAAGATAGCGGTTACTTTTTTAGTATCGGCTGGTGATAGCAAGTATTCCGTGATAGTCATATCAGCGAATAGCACTGCAACGATCCACACCATCCTGCATGCTTGAAGCAAACCACATTTAAATTTGTGAGAATCGCGTACATTGCCACCCGATAACTACACGTGCTGCGCAGTAGCGGTGGTACGTGCGTCCCAGAGATGCCCTACAAAAGCACCAGTCGAGTGATAGAGTGGTGGTGCATATGCGCGCGTGTGTTGGATGGCCGGCGAAGCGAAGGATAATCTGCGGACGACGAGTCCAGTGGCTGGAAGGACTGTTTGCATTATAAGTTCCGTTAGCATTGCAGGTTAACGGTTCCTAATTACTAATGAACGTTTTTTTTCTCAGTTTTGAGATAGGGTTTTCATTCCGTTCAGTGGCCAGATGACGAGAACTCAAATGGCGCCAAGCATGTATAAGTGGCCACGTCTGACCATGAAGATGGATGCGGCGTTGAATTTACTCCTCGAGTCAATGGAGTGGCTCGATAACCCTCGACAGGCCGAGTCCGCATCCTATAGTGCGGCGAACGACGTTGTGGTCCCGACTGCGGAGGACAGCCGCGTTTTGGTGGGAATGTATACTATCGGCGTCAAATGAAACCCGACCGAACAGCAGCGAAGCCTTCGCGATGGTATAGCGTGCGCCTTCCAGTTATCACCGTTAACAGACGTCCGCTTCCTGTTCGGCAGTTCTGCGCATATATGCGTGCCTGTCCATGGTGATAAGTGGATCAGTGTGCACTATGCCAACGCGAAGGCTCGTCACTGTTCAGGTTTCATCTGTGGTTTCATTTGACGCTTATAACACACACACACCACCGCAAGACAACGAGACCGGAGGCGACACTGCTGCCGACGGAGAGGCTCCAGTTTTGGAGCTACCAATTAACCCAGCCCTTGCAGTGGCTACAGGCGAGGAAGACAAGGACGGCACGGAAGACGCAACTACGAAATTCGGAAACGTGATTCACGTGGTTGGGGATGCCATGGTTGTACATACCAGTGACAACAACGACATGTTCGCGGGCAAGGAGGTCGAGAGCCAAGCCACTGCGGTGGAAGTGAGTTCGGCCAGCACTAACACGCCGAAAGCTGTTCCGGGTGTCAGTGCCGCAACGAGAAAGGCAGCGGCGAAGGTCAAGAAAGACGCCACCGACGATCGTAAAACCGAAACCAGGGATGACATTACGCCAAGGGCCGCATGCAGGATTGCAAAGGTGACCCCTAAAATGGACACCGCACACAAACCGTGGGATCGCTAGCACCGCACGAGAGAATCACCTCACAGCATTGTCCGGTAGGTGCGAGCCTGGTGGTGCTTTGCGAAAATCTGAAGGGAAGACTGGAGCCGCCATGGTGGCAGCCACGAAGACTTCAACTTCTGCGAAGACAAAGTAGCCCACAGCTTACAAAGGGTTAAAGACGGCTCCAATGGCTACGAGGGTGACATCACCGTCGGGGATGACATCAGCGGCACGCCTGGCGATGGTGGTGAAGACGAACGAATATGCCGCGGAAGACGGCAAAGATAACCACCCGCAACGGACTCTTTCTCGGGGGAGAATGTGTGGGAATCGCCCATATGGCCACACGATAACTACACGTGCTCAGCACTAGCGGTGCACACGTATCAAAGATGCCTTACAAAAAATCCAGCCGACACGATGCGCGGTGTGTTAGTGACAGACTGGCGGGGCATGTGCGCGCCTGTGTTAGACCATGAGGCACTGGTTGGACCAGGGGGAGGCAACTCTCTATACCTCCCATGTATTCGCTCTCGCATGCATATACCCACCGGCAGCGCCGCCTTTACCGCTGGCGGTTGCCGGACATCCTTCTAAAAAAATTATGAACCGAAAATTGTTTTATGACGTCACTGGTGAGGTCATCCAATTGAAAGAAAAATGGCCCCGTATCTTCATGTTTCACTGCAAACGTCGTCGAGGGGCGATAGTCTTGCCCCTGGAGAAAGTGAACAAAACGTTTATTTGATGTTCTGTACGAGAAAATCAGTGAATCGTATTAGACACCTTTAGTTGGGCGTACGGAGAAGTTGCTTACGCTGTGAAAATTACGTTGCGTACGCTGCGAATTAAGCGTGCGACAACACTTCTAGTTAAACGTACCTGGATGCATTCCACTCAACTTGATTAGTCGTATGCGAGATGCAAGGGTTCTCGCATGCTTATCAGCGCCACCCACGTCCGAACAACTTCACTTGAATATTCTAGTGACGTTGCGTCCGAAGTATGCTAGGTCCCAGTAATAACGTAGCCTCTGTGATCGGCGCGAAAAACATCCTGACTGCCAGGGTAAAGACCACCAGCGTACAAGTCAGGCCGTGGTGTTCGCTGTGTAGATTTTTAGCATCGTTCCTAAGTGCACTGCATACGCTCGTTCGCGTTTGCTGTTTTGAGCTTGGGCACGCAATGTAAAAAGAGCGTCTTATCGGGTGCGGCCGCACTGGATCGACCCCAGGGTTGCTGTAGGTGAGGCTTAGCGTACCCCGCCGGATGGGGTCACGTTCAAAGTGTACATGACCTTACGATGTACTACCGGCACATTTAATCAGTGAAATCTCGCACAACGTCCAATGCGTGTTACGTTGCGCCAGAAATAAAAGTACGTATCCTGCTGCCGTTTTATTTAGGGCATAGAGTTTCATACAATAATACCTAGAGAGAAATCTGGCGCTAGTCTCTACGCGGGCTCCTTCAGAGGCGCTTGTACCCTCATGGGAATTATGGGAAGTACAGACTTGAGATATGCTTTGGATGGATCACGTTTTTGAGATTCTCGACGCTCCGTTTCCGAGTGTAAAAAAAGTAATATGAACTTACATTTAATTGAAATATTTGTACGCAAACTTTATTGAAATACGTTTTTGTGGGTAGGGGGTATAAGTGAAACATGGAAAAATTTAACTAACAAGGTATGCATTGCTCTGCCATTGCGTTCCAGATTTGGTATCAAGATGTAATGAATTATTCTTCACAACATTTCAGAACTAACAATCTTGTTTTGTCCTAGAAAGTACGCATTATTTATTTATGCAAATAACATTACAGTATTAAGTGAGAAGCACTTACCGTTTCGTCTGCTGCGATACCAGTTGCGTCTGTGCAAGTGATATGTGCCCAAAGTACCTCTCGTTTTGGTGTGAAGTCGAGTCAGAAAAGTGTGGCAGTGCGTCTATTTCGCGTCGCCGTCGTTTTGTAGTTTATTTCAACAAGTTTTGGCAAGACGCACTAACAACAAGCGTGAACTCGATGTAATATCCTGCACTGGCGTGGGACGCTACGTGTATGCGTAGCGGTGAGTGGACGACTCTTCGCCTCAACTGCGAAAACCGACTTATACAGCTCCAGCCTTGCAGTAAATTGAGAGGCCTAGCAGTTTTCAGCTTCTTTGAACAACAAAGGCACAACTTACGTCCTTTGCACCCACTCCACTACCCACTCTACGCGAAGAACGAAGCTGAAACTGTAGAAAAAGATCCGGAGACAGTTCGCTGGCTAACGCGATCCAATCCGAAGCCTGTACTTCCCATAATTCCCACGAGGGTACACAATGGCAACGCCAGATTCCTCTCTAGGTAATATTGTATGAAACTATGATTTAGGGATTCATTCACTGAGAGACCTGACAGAAAAAGACGCGTTCCCGCACACAACCTATCGAATGCGATTCTTAAAGATTTTTGTGAGACGCCAGGCAATGTCTTCTGAATTGTCAGGATGCCGGAACGCGCCGCTTGGATGTGCCTTGTCTGGCGAGAGAACATCGCCTTTCATTGTGAAGTACGCATGCCTTGCATTCGGTTCGCTGTTGCTGTCCACGACGAACACAACCACCATATACTCTCGTTCTGGTTTCCTCGAGGTATCGCAAGAACGCAACGTAAAGAGCGTCGCGTTACGTGCGCAGCTGCTTGTATCGGGCGTACGCGCACATCTCTGGAATCGATACGTTACGTACTGCACATGCGCATTTCTCTCCCGCGGCAGTGTTGCGTACGTGGACTCGTTACGTACGCCCAACTAAAGGTGTCTATTGGGGAGGCGCTGCGTTACAGAGCCTCGATGCGTGCAGTGGAGGTGAACGAGCGCTTTCAGGTACGCTGGCCGCTTGGTCGATGCGGCTACTCGTAGAATTCTGTTTTTCTTTTGTGTGTGTGTGTGCGTGTGCGTGTGCGTGTGCGTGTGCGTGCGTGCGTGCGTGCGTGCGTGCGTGCGTGTGTGTGTGTGTGTGTGTGTGTGTGTGTGTGTGTGTGTGTGTGTGTGTGTGTGTGTGTGTGTGTGTGTGTTGTGTGTGTGTGTGTGTGTGTGTGTGTGTGTGTGTGTGTGTGTGTGTGTGTGTGTGTGTGTGTGTGTGTGTGTGTGTGTGTGTGTGTGTGTGTGTGTGTGTGTGTGTGTGTGTGTGTGTGTGTGTGTGTGTGTGTGTGTGTGTGTGTGTGTGTGTGTGTGTGTGTGTGTGTGTGTGTGTGTGTGTGTGTGTGTGTGTGTGTGTGTGTGTGTGTGTGTGTGTGTGTGTGTGTGTGTGTGTGTGTGTGTGTGTGTGTGTGTGTGTGTGTGTGTGTGTGTGTGTGTGTGTGTGTGTGTGTGTGTGTGTGTGTGTGTGTGTGTGTGTGTGTGTGTGTGTGTGTGTGTGTGTGTGTGTGTGTGTGTGTGTGTGTGTGTGTGTGTGTGTGTGTGTGTGTGTGTGTGTGTGTGTGTGTGTGTGTGTGTGTGTGTGTGTGTGTGTGTGTGTGTGTGTGTGTGTGTGTGTGTGTGTGTGTGTGTGTGTGTGTGTGTGTGTGTGTGTGTGTGTGTGTGTGTGTGTGTGTGTGTGTGTGTGTGTGTGTGTGTGTGTGTGTGTGTGTGTGTGTGTGTGTGTGTGTGTGTGTGTGTGTGTGTGTGTGTGTGTGTGTGTGTGTTCTGAAGAGGTAAAAGTTAAGCTGATGGATCTGTCAGTAAGACGAAAGTCGATCGGCACGAATAAAATGAACCTTACCATTGCACGTTTTGTATAGAAAACATACATACACGTAGAGTGAAAGTGTCATCATATAAAAGCAGCTTTAACTTACAACTGACATACGCACATAATTGGCAAACATTGAACCCAAAATATCCGACCCCATGCAAACATTATCAACAATCGCGAGTAGGATACGTCGTATCTGACTCATTCGCGTTTGTTCTGGCGGCGCGCATAGCTTTCTTACAGAGCTTTAGTACCAAACGAGACTGAAGTTCAGAGGCACGGAGAGGTTTCAATTGATCAGAAGATTTTTGAGAAAGAACGTCACTGAAAACAGTGTTTTGGCAAGCTGACTTGAACTAGTCAGGCAATAGCGTTGTTTTGACGAAGAAAAGCTCACTTGTCAGAACATTGGCTCAATCGACATTCTCTGTAATAAATTTTAGAAGCATTTGGTCCATCACTTGTATTTGAGTGGCAGTATTAGAATTAAACATTCACAAATTTCAAAAAACAGCTACGAAAATTTCATGAGAAGGAAGCGGTCCAACGACGCACATTTAATACACATACACGCAAAAACATATTACGCCTTAAGGGCAAGTCTATATCGCAGTAAAAAAAAAAATAAAGCATCCTATAATACCCTGACATCATTTGAACTAAACGCCAAAAGTAAAAGAAGCTCGAAAGCTAAAACTACGTAGCCGAACAAACTGAAATTCTAGCATTTCAATAAACGCATTTTCCCGACAGCGCAGCTTGGCTTTACCTGTTCGTCAAGCGACACTTCACCTCTGTCAGTCCAGCCGGGCTTGCAGAGAACTTGGTTTGCTCATGTACTCATGCAAAATTAATACCGGCTCAGATAACGGGTACAAAATCTTGTGCTCACCCGTTGCTTGTAAAAAACTAGAGAAACATTCGCGGAACTAGAAATCTCTGGGCTATCACACCGCACCGCCGTGAAAGACATGTGTTGTCTGGTTTAGCCATCTCCTACGAATGCATGTTCGGTGTAGCTCACTGTGGCTTCTGTTCTCTGCCCACCACAACTTGCTGTATTGTTGCCGCGCCGCAACCGAGTGAGATAACTGAGCGTGACTCAACTCCTAATATCGCTGAGCGAGAAGCAGCGCAGGCAAGCACTTCCCGCGCTTCGCCCGATTTAAAATTAACAAAAAAATAACAAAGTACATGTAAACAAAATAGAAGTTCTTCACAGGGGTATCGTTCTTTTTTATTTGTGGAAACTTGTGAAAGCCAATAAATTCGAACATTCACATCAGCCTCATTCTGCTCAACCGGATCTTATAGGATGCCTGGCAACCACTACGAGCGTGCATGTTCCTTGAAACCGAAACTAGCGCTGAACTTCCGGGGCCTGATTGGACGGTCAGTGTGGCGAAGGATCATCTGCGGATGGCGAGTGTAGTGGCCAGGAGGTCTGTTTGTCCTATCAGCGTTGCAGCATAACGGTTCGTGTTACTAATAAATTTTGTTCTTAATTTTGAGGAAGCATTTCCATTCCATCTAGTGGCCAGACGACGTAAACCCCACAAACTCTGCCGCGGAATATCTGTGAGCACGGTGGTGCTGGAATCATCTTTCCGGTTGGAACTGCGTAGAAACTTAATGTTTCCACCTTTCAATACAAACTTGCGAACTTTCAGAAGTCATCATTCCCACTCTCTAGAGGGAGAAATGGCTACAGACGACATCGCCCACACGTTTTGCGATGAAGTCCTCGTTAGCCAGTTACAGAAGGCGGAACAGTTGCAGTGCATGCGAGAACTGCAATCACAACAGCAACAAGCATCGTCTGAACTCGGGCAGCAGGTGCCGCAGCAAATGCATGAAATGTTTTCTGAGTGCAAGAAACAGTTTAACGCTGAAATGCTACAACAAAGACACAACAATACGTTAACAGATCAGTTGCAGGTATGCAGAGTGCCATCAACAAGCGCGTCAGCATTATCTCCGCCAGGAGTCCGTTACCGCCGGTAGCCACATCGAAATGGGGCCACCACGGCCTGGACTCAAAGCCGTGCCCTCAAGCTTAGCAGCCCGATGCGCTAAGTTGCCACAGCTGATAATCAAAATTAATTAGCATTCTACTGCCCTAAAAATCTATCGTAATTTGGGAGTATAAAATTTATCTTTGAGATGTCACAGCTCTATTGAATATCTTAAGTAACGCTAAATATATTAGCACCTCAATGAGAGCACTATCCAACATCCAAGCTTGGTGAATTCATCACAACAAAGATTAGGCGAAGATTTCCTTCCCTTCGTTCGATAATACGTCTGCTTCAATGATTCTGGTGATAATGCATGTATACAAGAGACGTCGCACAAGCGGCTTGCGAAGTAAAACATCACATGAAATAGAAGTTTAAAAAAAAGCGAAGGCCCGCACCTTTCCATTCCTCGTGGCAGTGTAGTTGCTGATCATGAAGGCGAGTGTGTAGGTCGACATTTTGACACTCGTCATGAAGTGGTCCGCCACGTATCCGCCCGCTCTGCGAAGGCAGTCAATGCGTTTCACACGAAAGCTTCAATAGGGTAGGAAACCAGCGTAGAGCATTCGTACGCAAGGAAACACGGGATGAGCTTATTCGTGAAGTAAATACAATCGTTAGAGTATATTTGCACCCCCAACAGTCATTTAGTCATCTAAGAGGGTAGGCGCAAAGTGAGCCCCACACATAGACATAATATAGAGGGGGCACTGCGAATTTGGGGAGGGGGGGGCGAATTCAGTCCCATACATTGACGCAATAGGGAGAAGGACGCTGCGACAAGCCCTCTCCCCCCCTCTCAAAAGGAAGCACTGCGCCCGCCTGAGTCCACTAGTTCAAACGTCCGTTTCTTCGTATAAGACGTTTATATTGCGGTCACGTGACTTCAAACTGTTTAGGTGCAAACCCACTCTAGCGATTCTATCCACCTTTCCTTCAACAGTGTGCTCCTCTTTTTGATAGTTTATGTGTTTTAGAAAAAGTGGGTAATGATTTAGAGTACTCAGTACCCTACTATGTGTATGCTCATAGACAAGTATTCAGGTGTTCTACAACGAACAGATTGTCCATCCACAAACTCTGCAGTGCACAAACATTGTCACGAAGCCTCCTATTTGGTCCTTCCTTCATAATGCGTAACCCAGCTAGAGCTTCTCATGAACCTTAATCTTATAGAAGCAGGGTCACCTTTTAGATGGTAGATGGTGCGACCACCAATCATATTGTGCAATGCAAGAGACTGCACTTCCAAAATAAATCATTGAATACCGAGGCGCATCTACCCAGGCGCATCTGCGGCGGGAAAGTGATTAAAAAGCACCGCAGCAGCAGAAGCCGCTGCAGAAGAGAGCGCTGGCACATGTTCTGTGCCGCCCAAGGAGGGGATGGAGGCAGCCGCCTGTCAGCCAATAAGGCTGACAGGCGGCTACCCAGTGGACTAAACGAGGCAAGGTATACGGAGTCAATAGTCGAAGCGTAAAAAGCTTTTCTGTCGGGTTAAGCTCCCCCCCCCCCCCTTTTTTTTTTAGTATACAGAGCATTAGAGTCCTAGTTCATAGATTTTGAAGGCATCATCCTGTCATCCTTGGAGGATTAAATACGAGGGTCGATACTAAAGCAGTCAAAAAGGTTTAGGTCTCATGTGCCGCAATATTTGTCAGTGCCATTAACAGTATACTATTAAATACGGCAGATTGCACCAAAGGTCTCCACTCTCACATCGTTTTTCGAATTGAACCGAGATCAAACTGTGCTTAAACGCTCAAGAGTCGTTTCTTTAAGTGCTTCAGCTTCTCCTTCCATACTGATACAGAAATTAATGTCACCAGTGGGTGCACAAACAGCCTGTCTGATGTCACGCTCTTAAGCGTTATCGTCAAAACCGCACGAGAAAGATCATCGAGACGTTCGCTAGTGCGTAAGCGTTCCATTGCTTGATCTGCTAGACAATAAAATCCGCTGTCTGACGTCACGCACGTGGTTAAAACAGCAAATACCTTTTTCTATGTTTCCCAGCACCCAATAATTATATCTGGGGCTTTACGTCTCAGAACCGCTATATCGTTGTGAAGTATTGAGGGCTGCGGAAATTTTGACGATCTGGTGTTCATTAACGTGCAATGACATCGCACAGTTGCATGGGCCTCAAACATTTAGTCTCCATCGAAAATACGAACGCTGCGGCCGGGATCCAATCCGAAACTTCCGGATCAACACCCAACCACCGTACCTACTACACCGCCTTGACGGACCATTCCTGTGCATGGTTTCTTCGCAGAATTTTTTCAGTTTGCAGTCAGCATCCTTCCTCGTGTCATCTTGCTTCGTGCTTTGTTTGCATTAATGTTTTATTTCATATCTGAGCACTGAGTCAACTAAACGATCATTTTGTTCACATGGTGACACCTCCGAAAGATGACTTCTACCCAGCGTCCCCAGAGGGCAGCGACTTGGGGAAATAGGAACACTGTCTCGGGTTTATGTTTTCAAAAAGCGCAGATATGTAATATTGTAGTAGTTCTGTTTCAAACCCCTAGCCTACCCTAGTGTCGTAATTCCGGCTTTTTGGCGCGTCTTCCTGGAACACCGGTGTATCGCGAGAGAGCGGAGGAGCCGCAAAGGGGACAGCATTGGCTTCGCATGTTTTCTTCGCTGTTCTCTCGATGGTTGCACCGCGTAGGTGTTTTAAACTTGTTTTAATGGGGCTTGCAGATTCAGTTCAAAGTGACTGACATCAGAAATAAGATTGTTGCACTGGTGGTATTCACATATGTTTTAATTACAAAAAAAAGACTGCGATCGTAGCCTAGGTTAAAGAGTCTAATGATAGTTTTGGGACGTTAAACTTCACAAATCAATCGTTAAGCGTTGGGCTGCCATGCTGAAATACGAATTTTCTTTCCCATTTTTTTTTCAAGACTGTGTAGACAACGTTTGTACACTAGGGTGCGTGAAAAGTGACCTGGGTTTCGCGTATACACGTCCCAACGCGGAAGAATCTACTTCAGAACTTGCGTTAGCATGGCTCATGTGCTCGTATGTTTGAAGGCATGATAACAGTATACATGGCTTTTTTATTTTTGCTTTCGTTCTAAGAGTAAGCAGAGCTGTAGAGAATATATGTTGTTCTTTATTCTTTTAACCAGCGAGGTCGTTTCAGGCGCTCATCATAGCGTCAGATTCGTTGCAGGCGTATACGTTCAAGAATGTCGTTGCTGGCCATGTCGTGGACAGCTTTTCTCGAACATTGAGTGCCCTCTGTTCCACCTTCTACGCCGAACCATGCAGAGCAAATATTTTCATACGCGTCGTGTACTGGTAGAGAAATTGTTCGCACCTGCCTTCGGAGCGCACCAGCGGCATTGTGGATATGGAGTGGTATGCCTCTGGCCGGACCACTACCACGGTGAAAGTGGCCTTCATGTCCGGCTCGTCGAAGCACGGGAACGCTTCCCGGGCAAACGTCGGCTCGAAGAACGTCACGAGAAGGTGTCTGCGAGCCACAAACAGAGAAGAGCTCCGATCAAGCAGTTTCATAAGCGATATATCCAAGCGCATAGCAAGGTCCAGATTTCATCGAAAGAGAAAACCAGTGGCTCGAAGAAAGAGTACACTCTATAGGCAATAGAAAACAACCACCAGAGTGAACAATCCATGGACGCCCAAATGGACGCTTCATCAAGAAAGCTTACACCCCCGAACACATGAACCAGCGGGGCATGCGTCGCTAAGCTATCTCAGCCTAGTCAAACTGCTACCAAAAGCAACTGCCTTGACAAGCACCAAAGTTTCACGGCAACGTGCGCCAACTACATAGAAACGCAGAAGTTTAGCTATATATCAGCGAAACTCGATTATCACTCACAGGCGTAACGTTGTCCTGTTTCCTGATTTTGAAAGTATGTTAAATTTGAGGCTCGTCCTTCATTTTTTTCCTTTGCCAACGATGCTTGTTGACTTCAAATCACTAGAATGTGTCCTTACATGCTTACAAAAAAAAAAGGGAGAGAGACTGTTGAACCCACGCGCACTGGCTATCCAGAGATAGCGCCACGTGTTGGGAGTGGCGGTTGCGCATGGCCCACCTACGTTCTTCAAAAGGCTCAGCCGGTGTGCTGCCCCTGGGAGAAATGTTATAATAATAATAATAATAATAATAATAATAATAATAATAATAATAATAATAATAATAATAATAATAATAATAATAATAATAATAATAATAATAATAATAATAATAATAACATGTGTTTGACGTCCTAACACCATGATATTATTGAGAGACGCCGTAGTGAACGGCTACGGGAATTTCGACCATCTGGTGTTTTTAACGTTGTTTGTAATTTGTATACACAAACTCCACCAGTCTTACGTCACGAAAATGCGGTGGCGCTGTATTGGTAGGCGAAAGACCACAGTTTCTGCTGGGTTTTGATGGTGCATGTGGTGTTCTCAGTCAAGCAACGAGAAGAAAAAAAACGTTATGCCGACGAACTGCGTCATTGTTGGATGTGAGTCTCGTCTCACAACTTAGCTTTGTTTGTTGGCGTACGTCGCAGCCCTCAGCGCTTATTGCTTTCACAACACTTATGGCGTCTCACAACGTCGCTTTGTTGGCGCACATCGCAGCCCTCAGCGCTTATGGCGCAAGTTACGTGCGGACGTCGCTATAATTTTACCCATAATGTCGACATCGGCCTACCTTTGTTTACAAACATAGAATGGGTCTATAGAGCTGGAAACGCATACGGCGTTTCTCGAGACAGAAAGACGCCACGTGCGGCGAACGGCGCTATTGGTCGCGGTTTAAGAAAAAAGTGACAGCTTTGCCGCAAAGACGATGCCATGGACGTGATAGCAACAAATGGGGAGGTCACGCGAAGAATGGCAAACAGATCGAAACGTGCCTCGCATTTCTCACGCACATGTGACGGATGAAACGTACTCACAGGTACAAAAGAACGTGAATAAGAGTCTCAGCTGTTACTTTGCTGGGTCTGCAAAGCACGCACTTTTCGCAAACGGAGTCTGCTTGACAAGTGCAGTGACCTCTTTGCGCCCGGTAACTACATCAGAATCGTTCTGGTGAAAGCGTGAGGCGTACGATTGTCCCCACCACGAGATAAGCAAGCGCACGCGTGAGCGTCCCCTATCCGCGGGCCAAAGTACGCGTGAGCGATGAGAGCGCGCGCCAGCTGCGTCGTGACAATCTGGTGACGCGCACTCATTGCGCCATCTCGCTGGTAATGCTGAAAACGCGATTCCCTCGAGATGCCCATCGCCACCGGTAAGCGGTAGATATGAATAGGTTTCTGTTAGAACGTTGATGGAAGTCTCTGGATTTCGTGCCGACCGGTTGTGCCCCCGCGATCTCCGACGACAGCACAGCTCTGGCCGACTGGCTCGCCCTACGTCATCTCCTGTCGCCGACAAGAGCTCTCGCTGAATGGTGCCCCGTCCTCGGACTCCTGCGATCGTGTTCGTCTTTTCTATCTCCTCTTTACTTCCGTTGTTTTCTGTCGTTCGCTGTCCCTGCGCCTCGCTCTCTCCTTGCTCTTTCTATATCTATACCTTTAATCCGTCCTTATTCCATGTCTTGTGAGCTACAGTTGAGGTGTCACGCTCTGATGCAGACATTTACAGGGCTCACTTTCCTCTTCTTTTCTCTTTAGGAATCACATAAGGTGCTCCTTCGTGGCTAAATGGTAACTGCTGGTAGCTGCGCGCTTTGGGTATGAAAAACAGTTACTCGCAGCGTAATTCAATAACAGAAATTGCGTACAACAGCGCGGTATCAAACACTAAGAATACATTGTGCATGCTTTTCACGAGCACTATAGCAAGTTATTTTCAATAGGCGCTGTATATCGGGATTACTCCAGGAGTGAATTTTTGACGTCGATGGCATAATCAGGTGATGAAACTAAAAATAGATTGTAACTCTCGATCTCAGTGAGAGAAGTGTAGAGAGCAATTTACAAACGAAACTGCGGGAAATTCCCTGGTCCGGATGCTTTAAGTGCTGCTTTATACAAGAAGTTTAAGCAGGAACTATCTCCCATTTTTGGTATACCTTTTTAATGAATATTTGGAAGTTAAATCACTAACTTCATCATTTCTTTCCTCTTATACTATTCCGATACTTAATACAGATGATTCAAGGAAATTTCTACAGGTCTCTGCCTATCGACCGATCAGTCTCACCAATGTAGACCACAAGATCATGATGAAGACTATGGTTACTAGGTTGCAAAGCGTAGTGAAAGAATTGATAGACTCGAATCAAACACGTGGAATAAAGAGAAGGAGAATCTTTACGAGCATTCATACAGCGAGAATTACTTGGAGAAAGCCTTCGATCGCGTGCCGGACGATCTGCTTACAGCCGTATTAGAGCATGTTAACGTCGGTACAGTAGCAATTGAAGCCGGCATACACGGTATGTACCACTCGTCTGATCGTTAACAAAGAGTTAAATAAATCGATAATCAAAGAGCAGTGATACCGTGGTGTGATCCCTGTTCTTTGTGCCGAAAGCCCGAAAAAATGAGTATGTTTTTTTCTAGATTGTTGGGACGCGTATTTATTCTGGGTTGTTATACAAAGGACAATAAAGAAAGATTACCCACTGGACGCACAGTGTATAAGGTGCCTCGCCATTGATAATGAGGATGGATTTCCGTAGAACATCATCATGCTGTTAACTCTGCATAGTATTTGTAGGTCGCACATGGCTATACGTCATGCCGATCTCAACGCTCGACAAGGTATAGCATACTTAGAATACTTTCGAGGGTCCTTAACCTCGTGTCTGGAACTTCAAAAAATACAAAACGGTGTGTCCGATAGGGTACTGCACATGGAATCACTATTGTATACATGAAACAATTGTAGAAAATTTGTTCTGTTGAAAATTGTTGAAGCACTGCAATAAAGAAAAGCTCATTCGTGGCTCAGTGGCTAACTCCTCGCACTCACAATTCAGAGGTCAAACGTTCTATACCATGAGCCGGAGTTTTTTTTTTCTTGTGTTTTCATATATATATATATATATATATATATATATACGTATACATATACGGTGAATGACGGTGAATCAGACGCCTCCGTCGAAGCAGGCGGCAAAGTCCAGCCGAGAGTGTCCATATAATTGTTATCGCAATAAAACAAACGCATACGTCATTTCTAATTTCTTCATATTGTGGCGCTTGAACACGCGGGAGTACCGCCAGCACCCTTCGGTTTACTTCCGGTGATGCGCGACCACACCGCCTCTACTTGCCGCCACTCTCGCCTGCGGCTGAGAAGTGCGCGCTTTGACCGCCAGGGCGGTGCTGCCCACATCTTGGAAATGGAGTTACTGTATATGCTACCTTACATAAGGCATCTTACACAGTACTTCTACTTGCAAACTCCAGCGCAGGTTTTCTATACAACATGTTAGTAAGAGTGGCTCACTGATTCCTGTCCGCCGAGGTGTAGTGGTACTTGTAGAACCCTCGAGTGTCACCCAGGCGTCCGCTGAAGTGAATCTGCACGACGTACTTGTTGCCAGCTTCGAGACTGGATGCAAGCGAGACGGTAAGCAGACCGTCGCCCTTCTCGACGGAAGTGACAGCCACCTGACTGAGTGGACTGGATGCCTCCCACACCTGCGCCGAGAAACGGCAGGCGAGCTATGACACGAGGTTCATTATTGCTAAAATGGTCTCGTTAAGATTAACAAATGTGCAGCACATCTTGAACCCGTGATTTTCTTGACAAATCACAGTTATAAAGGCGCAAAAATCACGCTTTGAGATAACATCACCCCATACTACTTCAAGAATATATTAAGCAATGGTTACTGAGTACTACCGCACGAAAAAAAAGCATTTTATCAGAGTAAAAAGCACCATATTCAGAATAGTAACTGAGTAGAGTTCAAAATGTTCTGAAATTTTAAATTCCTGAACAGGGTGGGTGTTGACTGCAGCACACCCACTGTTTACGTATTCCTCACAGCAACCTTTCCCACAGCAATTTCTCACAGCAGCAACATCTTTCCGTCTGTCTGACGTATCTCCTATCGCATGCGAGGGAATGTTGAATACTACTTCCTCATTACGATCCGCAAACTTTCTAAAGTGGTTGACACCACAATCTATGCGGCTGGATTCATACATGTGTTAGCAGATAGGTCGGACAGATGAAACATGTTTCAACACAAGATCAACAAAGCGCCGAAATCGTTGTCAACTAAGCACGCATCCGGGCAACCTAGAATGACATGTATCGCAATGTCAATTCACGCCACTTTTCGAGAAAACCACAACCTCGCCACAGGTTTATGATAAAAGGAAGCAATTCATAACAAAATCTTATATGATAGCACAGGCATACGCCGACGAATGTATCAGCGCACCATACATTAAAATTTCTTCAAAAGAAATTCTCTTGGTGCGCCCGCCCATGTGAATACTTCCTTGTTATCTCGACCGAGGTTTTAAATGCGAATGCATTTCTCAGTAGGGCTATGTCACGCATCCGGCGTTGTCTGCGGTCGTGTCCTCGCGGCGGCAGGTGTTATCTCTCCGCTTTCACACCCTCTCCCATAGCATTAGCAGCCAGCGGGCGCGCTTATCCTCGCCTCTAGCAACCGGAGCATGGGGTGCGAGAGAGTATTGGTCGCGAGATCGAGCAGAGTCGCCGCCTGGCGGCAACTGGTCAAAGAAAAGAAGTGTGGATATCTCCGTGCGTGGTCTGCTAGCCATGTCTTGTTTCTATGTGGGCGCACTTCATGCACGTTTTGAAAGTGTGGTTTGTCCGGTCATGTCAGCGCCAGTGTAACTGTTTCTACATACGCCTAAAATGACCTACGAAAGCATTTGGTCTTGCTCGGATGCTAATGAAGTGTAATTAAATCAGAGAGTGCAACCTTCCAGAGTGTTGTTTATTGCCTTCGTAGCCTCCATTCACCAGAATAATTTCAGAGTGAGTGCTGCTGTATATTTCAAGCACATCGCAAAATTCCTTTGACACCCACCCAAACAAGAGGAGTATCAAGTGGTGTGTGAATGCAACTTTTTATAGTGACTCAATTGTAAAAAAAAAACAGGGTTTAGGTCATACTCTTGCGTGCTATTGGTAGGTGTACAACTACGGCACTAAAGTTTATGGATCATGCGAGAAGCCTTAGTTGTGTTTATCTGGCCGTGGTACCACTACATAGAAATATTACTATAACAAACTGTGGCACTTTAGTTCCTAAACTGTACTTAAAACAGAATTACCGAGCGCTACCTTTGTACTTGAATTATGGAACGCTCAACGGAACCCACACGTTGAAAGTTAATTCAGACGGCATGCCTTATAAATAATGTCATATGTTTGATTTACGATTCTATTTTTTTACATTGTCTTCAGCTTTTGGGTGGCATTGCTAGTGACTGATGGAAGGCAGTGGTCGTTTTTGTCTGAAAAAAAGCATGCTTGTCCCATTTACCAGGCCTTTGTTGTAGCGATAACATGCACATAATCTATTGATGAAAATTTCTGCTGAACTATTATGTAAGATTATTATATTTCTACTGGTGCAAGAACGTGTGCGTATACGTGGCAAACGCAGTGGGGCGAATATCGCCGTGAGCCACTAAGCTTTCCGTACTAGACTTGTCGACTGCCCCGCATTTCAAGGTGAACAGAATGACAGAAAAAAATCCATATGCGTAAAGGTGCGAACGCTGGTACTGAACTAATCGCACAGATATGCGACTTTCTGCGATACTTCTTTCTTTTTTGCAGTATGCAGATTCACGTGGTCTGCTGCCACGTCGTGTTTCTCAAAGTGTAGTTTGTCCGGTCCTGTAAGCGTGAGTGTAACTGTTTCTACGTATGCTTGAAATGACGTACGAAAGCATTTGGTCTTGCTCGGCTGCTGATGCATTGTAATATAATCGGCGAGTGCAACTTTCCAGAGTGCTGTTTATTGTCGCCATACCTTTCATTCCCCAGAATAATTTCAGAGAGGGTGTCGCTTTCTTTTTCAATCACATTGCAAAATGCTCTTGGCATTCTCCCAAACATGACCACTATTAAATGGTGTGTGAAGGCAGCGTTTTATGGCGACTCGGCAGTAAAAAAACAAGAAAAAAACAGGCTCTAGGTCATGCATTTGCGTGCTGTTGGAAGGTGTGCAACTACGGCACTGTAGTTTTATCGATCGTGTGAGCAACCTTAGTTCTGTTCATCTGACCGTGGTACCAGTACATAGAAATATTACTATCACATAAACGGTGACACATTCGGGACTTAAACTTTACTTAAAACAGAGCTACTGTGTGCCATCAAGTGCTTAGATTCAAGAACAGTGGTAATTTTTTGTCTGAAAAAAATAACATTCTTGTCCAATTAACCAGGCCTTTGTTGTAGCACTCTCATGCACGTAATCTATCGATGAAAGCTTTCTCCTGAACTCTTATACAAGATTTATATATTTTTACTGGTGCAAGAACATGTGCGTACACGTCGTAAACGCAGTGTAGCGCAAAGTGCCGTCTGCCACTAAGCTTTCCTGACTCGACTTATCGACTGTTCCACATTTCATGGTGAACAGAATGGGAGAAAAAAAATATATGCATATAATGGTGGGAATGGTGGTACCAAGCTAATCGCACAGATATGCGGGTTTTTTACGATCTTTCTTCCTTTTTCTGTAGTATGCATATGACAAAGATGTAAATAAGTATTTCAGTCACGCTACAGCAGTGCGTAGCAGCCGGAACACAAGCTAACCACGTACAAACAACGCTGCAAAGGCATGGTTTAGTGCGAAAGCGTGATGAGAGTCACCCAGGGCGAGAATCCCTGTGAAAGGCAGAATGCGCTTTACTCGCGGCTAATGTTAACGTTTCATTCGGCGTCATGCACCGATTCAGTAGAGAAGAGCGTAGACATTAACAGTAAACAACGCATTTTATCCGCCGACAATCGGCTCAGACGGCAACGAAGCACCGCTGCGTGTATTAGACGAGAGCACGCCTACCTCGCACCCAGGCGCCTTCGGTGGTATACCCTCGCTCCCAGAGACGCCATTATTTGTTTGCAACTGCCAAGGCACGACTATAGTTATAGCGCGAGAACAAAACGACGACACAGAGACAAGGAGGACACGAGCGCTTTGTTGTAACACTCTCATGCACGTGTCCTTCTTGTCTCCGAGTCGTCGTTTTGTTCTCGCGCTTCTTGTCCTTCCTGTCTCTGTGTCGTCGTTTTGTTCTCGCGCTTCTTGTTCTTCTTGTCTCCGAGTCGTCGTTTTGTTCTCGCGCTTCTTGTCCTTCCTGTCTCTGTGTCGTCGTTTTGTTCTCGCGCTTCTTGTTCTTCTTGTCTCCGAGTCGTCGTTTTGTTCTCGCGCTTCTTGTCCTTCCTGTCTCTGTGTCGTCGTTTTGTTCTCGCGCTTCTTGTCCTTCTTGTCTCCGTGTCGTCGTTTCGTTCTCGCGCTATAACTATCGTCATGTCTTACCAACTAGCCCAAGCTGCCACACTGCCTAGGCACACCTCGCTAGCATGACATGCAGTGGCTGGGAGTTTCAAATGCGAAAAAGCGCCTGTTCACGCGGCGCCTCCTCATAAAATGTCATCTGGGAACCACTGCCCTGTCATCTGAGGCGACAACAACCAGCGCAACAGAAAGAGATTGCTGAGCACTGCCTGTGAAGTTCACAGCGCATCGCGGGAATCGTGCCGGTACGGTGTTTTGCGACTGCACAGATTTCCGTCCACAACGAAAAACCCCAAAGTCGACCGCCTTAGGATATAATCGCCATCAGCAGGAAAAACTACGAGCCCTGTGATGTGTTCGAGTAAGTAAACTTATTGTGTTTATTCAAGGGTGACTCTAGCTGTTTCACTTCACAGCAGCGATTTGCATGCAGTATATGCCTGTAGTGTGAGGCACAAAACTGTTGCCGTACTCTTTCGCAGGCCGCATGTCAGTAATAGGATATACGTATTACGAGTCACGTGGGGATGCACGCACTGCGCATGTTCAGTACAACTGCAACGGCCTACTATCGTGATGCGTGAACGGCTCGGAACGCATGACTTTCGACTCGGTCGAACTGCGACATGCCTTGACTGTCACTAGGCGAATCTACACGTGCTTTCGGCCGGCGTCACCGTAGCATTTTAAAATCTTCTTTTGGCTGGCTCTTTTGCGGCGCGTGTGTGTTCCGAGTGCCCGGCAGGACCGGCAATTGATAAACATGCGGTGCGTGAGCGTAAGTTGGAACCAGATTCCAACGCTACGTTGATGCCAGCTTACAGCGCAAATTCTGCCTTGTCACAGCCAAGGCACGCCGCAGTTCGACTGTGTCCAAAGCAATGCTTTCCGCTGTTCGCGTTTCCTTCAATCGCAATAATATGTACCTGATGAAGCTGCTTCCGTAGTCTGCAATGCAGACACTCCGGACTGTCGAGGAAAGTCTCCTCGACGTTTCAAACGACATAAAGCATAAACTTCCAGCACAGGAACAGCGCGAAACTTGCTTACAGCCGGACTCAAGTTGTGAAGCTTCGCGTTTGATTTGCAGAGCGTCTGCTCGCCTGGCAGTTGAGAGTGTTGCTTCACCGCGCTTGCAACAGACGGCGCCACGCGCTTTTCAATAGGGCAGCA